ACAACTTCCAACCACCCCTGAGATTACGATCATCTCATCACCAACATAAATGGGCACTCTGAAATCCTCCTCCTATCTTCATAAAATTGGCACCCTTGGCTTTCTTTCTTCATAACATAAATTGGCACACTGAATATATCTTCATACTAATCAATGTTGGATAAGTGTTTTTAAGGACGTAAGCATTGTATGATACACTTTAGACATAATATTAGAGTGGCATATGAAGTATAGTCTAGAACAGTGTTCCCCAATCCCCGGTCCGTGGATCAAACGATACCGGGTGGCTCATTTCATTGAAACTGAATTTAAATTCCTTGTTTCATACCCCAAATTAAAAATATCTGGTAAGGAATGGATCTGCGACCCATTTGTCAACAAATCGGGCGAATCTAGCATGTCTGTGCAAGAAGAAGATCACCTGCTGGAGATTGCAAATGACGGGGGCCTTAAAACTACGTTCTGCCGGTGTTCTGGATTAAAGTCATGGCAGAACACCCCGAGATTGCCACCACAGCACTTAAATCCTTGTTGCCATTTCCGACAACCTATCTGTGTGAAGCGGGATTTTCTGCAATAACAGAAACCAAAACAAAGCATCGGAATAAACAACACACTTCGGGTGTCATTGTCTCCGATTACCCCCCAGATGGAACCGTCTCATTGCAAAGAAGCAAGCTCAGGGTTCTCATTGATTTAACGTTCTAGTAAGTTGAAATGTTAAATAACTTCATATTTATTTTTTGGTGTAACTGTATTTTATTTTGAAGGCATGTTTAAATACAATTAAATTAAAATTAGTAAATCNACATCGGAGTTTTCGGAAGAGAAAATATTCAGCTTATGGTGAAAAGGCATGTGATCTTGTTGCAAATGTTTTGCATTTGCGATGTTAGGAACTTTCATATATCCTTTAAATTGTATATGAAAGCTCGATTTGATCTTAACTTGAAAAAAGCGTTCTTTCACAAGACTTTAAGGGTTGTTCAACATCAAATTCGGAGAGATATTATACCACAGTTTTACAGTGTAGTGTGAAAATAAATTCTTAATGATATTTATGCAGATCTTATTAATATTTATAGTGTATAATAGGTCAAACCAATATAACTATAAATAGACTAAATAAATTAATTACCATCTTTTTTATAATTATAAAACAGTTAATTGTTTTATGTTTAACAATTCGTTAATGAAAAAAAAAATGTTTTTAGTGGATGTAAATTTTGTGGCTCATCACATACGCAACAAAATGTTTTGCAAATGCGTTGTTTTGTGTCTTGCATCAAGTATGGGTATCTCCCTCTTGTATAAAAATAAATTAAATTTTTGTTGCTATAGATACCAATCCCATTAATATATCAGCTTGCAAACCTTTCATAAAATCCACTAAAGTTCAACTCTGGGGAGACGTCTTTCTTCAAAAGGGATTCTTGAACTTGTCTAGTATTCCTATCCTATTAGTTTCTTATTCGTGTTTTCAGTAATACCCCCTAGATAGTTAGTTTTTTCTACTTCCTTTTTTTTTAAAAAAAAAAAAATCTCTCCGGGACATTTCTCTGGAGGTTTATATTTCTTTCTCTGTACATCCCCAATTCAACTTATTCTCTTCTTTTTCTATATAAAATTACTTTTATTATTCCCTTATCTTCACGCTTTGTTTAAGACTTAACTTAAATAAGGATAACTTTTTTTTCTGTCAAGTTTGTTTATTACGTATGTATCGTATAGTCAAAAGTAATGTGCTATTGAGGAAGTGTTCTATAGTTATCTGTTTGATGTTTATAACAAAAGAAAATCGCCGGAAAAAATAGTAAAAAAAATAAATAAATGAAAATTAATACACTTGTTCAGTTTTTTTCTTTTATGGATACTGTATATTTTCCAAAGACATTTGTTCCAAATCGTATTTGTGATCAAAAATTTAACATAAGAAATATATTTAAAAATTTGTAGTGTACGATGTATTTTTCATTACATGTAAATAAAAAATTTGCTTAAATTAATCTTTTCCAAAAATTTTCAATATTTTTATGAAGCTTGATGCATTAGGCATATTTCAATACTTAATTGGTACACAAGATATTAAGTTTCTATTTTAAAAAAATTATAAAGTTCATTTTTAAGTTTTATTTCTTAGTTTTTAGTACGTAAATATGGCTTTAGATTAAAATTTGAAGAATTAATATTTATAATTGTAGTATGTACATCGAGGTTAAAATTTTGCGTATAATTAACTGTTCTATTATTTAATTCGTGTTACAGCTCCGGTTAAAAAAAAGTCTTAACACATGGTAGTTGTATTGAACTTTCTCAATATATATATATGTGTAATGTTTTTATATGTTTATATCGTGTTTTTAAAACGCATTTTATTGATGCATTTGTTTAAAAAATTCCGATCTCCCATATTAGCAACTCATTTGTTATGATGATAAAATTTTTTAATATATTTTTCAAAATACATACCAAATACATACATAGTATATTTTTCAAAATACATACCAAATACATACATACAAAATACATAGTATATATTTTATTTCAATTTTTTAAATACTCACCATGAAGTGCTTTAATTTAGCTGTATACAATTCATTGTAGAAGCTGAAAATAATTTCTCTTCTCAGATTTTGGAAGTTCAAACATTTTACAATTCATAATTTATAACCTGTCTAAAGAAAGATACTGAATATTTAATTATGTTTTCTGTCACAGAGCAATATTGTAAGTTAAAACTAATTGTGATTTATTTTTAAAAAAAAGTAATAGGTAGCTTTATTTTTAATGATATATTTTTTATAATATATTTTTAATAATATATTTTAAATATTAAGTAATACAGTTGTTTCCGTTTAATGCCCTTCACTTAACGACAGCCTGTATTTAAAGACGGTATATTGCAATTTCGGCTCCATTCATATTAGAAAAAATCTGCCTATATTTAAGGAATATTATGCCTTTGTTTACGGACAAAATTTTTAGTGTGTATTTTATTTATTTTTCTTAAATAAATTTTTTATCTCAACAAATTGATTTTCTGTGAGAAGAAACGGAAACAAGTTTTATTGTAATGGGGTTAATGAAAGGGAAGATGTTCTGGTTGCCAAAGTGGTTGATATCGACTACTGGAGGTCAATATAGTATAAGTTGGTGTCGATCCAATCTAGGTTGTTCGATTAGGGGTCGATGAATGAATAATAATGCTATTCGATCGCAAATGTATTGACAGTAACGCAATATATGTTTTGTCGTTTGTTATTAAAATAAAGTAATTTAAGTTTTTATAATTTATTTGAAAATATGGGTAACCCAGAATGGATTATCGCGACACTTACACCTCACGTTGAAAATATCGACAGTCATTTGCAAAATTGACCTTTGAATTTGATATGTTTGAAAAATTGGAAGAAAAAGATAGTAAAGCAAGATCGCAATTCATAATTTCATATTAAATTAATAATCAATAAATTTAGATTTTTTTTTTAAATTTTATTTTGTTTTGCATTAATATAATTTGTGCATAAAATAAAATAAGCTCATTTTTTAAACACACTAACGATATAAGTTAACGATGTAACTATATATGTTACGATATAAGTTAAAAGTCCTAAGCCTGCCGAAGTGTGAAAGGATGAAAGGTTTCTAAATGTTATTTTTCCACAAATTCTGTTAATAAGAACGAACTTTCTTACAAAGTCATTAAACAGAGAGCCAACACAAACAGTATGAAAACCGATACATCTAAAATAATTTTTATTTTTAAGACTATTTTTCGAATGCTCTGACGTCGCATGAAATAACGGTATTTTGCGTATAATATGCTATTTATGTAACTTTTCTGTGTTTATAACAGTTTTCCAAGACTGTTGGGTCAATTTTTACCTTTCTTTAGCCAGCGCCATCTATGTTAATTCTGAAAATGGCGTAAAGCGTCAAAAAGAAAAAAGACAGTTTAATGAAATTAAAAAGCGTTTGTGATCTAATTTTCCTATATTTAAGAAGCAATTTTCAATATTTAAACTGCGTTATCTGGGCTCATTAAAATTTAATAAAATTGAGAATTATTTCTAGATTCTGATAATTTTCATCTAAGTGGAAAATTCTCGTCACATTGGTGATATTTTTTATAAGAAATAATTTTAAATTATTCATTAAGTTTTAAGAATGATAGCATAATTTACAAACTATTGTTCTAAAATAATTTATTACTAAAATTGTCTTATGTTATTAAAAATAATAGCTCAAAGTGATGAAAAGAATCATTGTTTTGATCAAATGACTAATTATACAATTGTTGAATTGTTTTTTAATTTTTGCTTACTCATTGTTGTTTTTGATTGAAGTACAATACAGTTTAACAAGTTTGTGTCATAAATTGTTACATAGCTTATTTTGTGAGTAATATGGAATTTAAAAGTTAGAATCTAGTGGGAAAATTAATGTAATAATTTAAGCATTTTTTGAGCTCTGTTTTTCCTAACCTGTTGATTATTAGTCATATGTCAATGCTATTTTAAAAGTTTAATTAAGTTACTGTAAATTGTTATTAGCTAACGCTGCTCACATATTTTCTGTATCGTTTTTCTGACGCATTTTTTAAAAATTTCACATGCTTTTTTCCTCTTTTTCTTCCTTTTTACTATCTCGTGTTTGGTAAATGTTTTTAAGTAATTGTGTTCAAGTATTGTTCAAAATTTTTTGAGTTTTCAAAAGAAAAAAAAACTTTAAAATATTTCTTCTACTTTTATTTTTAAGATCTTCTACTTCTAGTGAATCTTCTAACAATAGTCCTCAATAATTACCAGCTACCAACTTATTCAAAAGAAATGTATTATAAACTTAATCAAGCTTTGAAATCTTATAATTATGAGTTAAAGTTGGAGATAATTGACATTTTTCCTGATATTGGCAGCCTTTAATTTTATAAGTGAATAGAAAATGGCCTTCCTTGTTTATAATTTTTTGTGTAAAAATTTTAATCTTGTTAATTTTTACAGTCAAAGAAGCTCATGGAAAAATTCAAGCAGAATGACTCAATAACTAGTTCAACAATGGAATTGTGCAATCAGTCAATATCTTCTACTTCTAGTGAATCTTCTAACAATAGTCTTCAACAACCAGCTACCAATTCTAGTAGATTAAAGCAAAATAATTTCCCACTAGATTCTTGGTCCTCATTAGGAGCTTGCAGTAGTAGTGAAGAAAATATATCTCCTGCTGATGTAAACTCTTGCAAACAAATCAAAGACAAACCATTAATGCAGAAAAATTTAGATGTAGTTCAAGAAAATGTCTTAGGAGATGACCATAGAGACAATACACGATCTCCAAATGAATGCACAAGTAAAGTTTCCAGTTGTGATAATGCTACTAATGTAAATGTGAGAGTTTCTTCTGAAACAAAGTCATATGGTTTTAAACCATTTAAAGTGAGTAATTTATAATTAGTTTATTTTACAAAGCTTTTTTGTTAATTATGCTTGTACCTGATATTTTGTAAAACTTTTTTTTAGGATTTTAATCTTTTAATTTTTTAAAAATTCAAATTGTGTATTATATGATTAGTTTAGGCTGGCAAAAACTGTTTTTACTAAAATGAGGTTTTAGGGTGTGCAAAGAATGAATAAATGTGTGGTAATTGTACAAAGAATCGATTTAAAGTTTCATATACAGTCTAGTTGTTACCCGCAGAGATCTTCCTCATATTATAATATTTTAACGTATATTTTCTTGCTTGTGGCTCTCAATGTTCTGCCTCCTATAGTACAGCGGGATTATCACCGATTCTTATTTTTATACTGTCATTCATTACTAGCATAACACTACCATCAGTTACATAGCACCTCTTACTACTCATGTGTTTTATGAGATAGTTTTTGAAGTCGTGACCAAACAGATGCTCATTTAGTTTGAGAAACATGTGAGCAAGGTGTCTATTTATAGCGATTATTTTTTTTTTGTATCTTGTATTATACCATACTTTATGCTGAGGAATTACTGAAAGTAATGAATTAGTACTTTAGCTCAAGCTGGCTCAGTCCCTATGTTTGCTGTAGTTGTTTCTTTGTTTATTTTTTTGGTGTGAAAATTTTTTGTTGTTGATTATTTTGCTTTTTTTTAAGACTACCTTGCTTTTAGTTTTTACCTGGCATATATATTAGGTATTTTTTTATTCAGTCTGAAACAAAATAAATTCTATCATCTCAAGCTCATATTATAAGCGTTTAAACTCAGTGATCTAAAACTTAAACATATGCTCATTTCTGCTTGATATCCTTTTTGCGACCACAGCTGATGTCATTCTAAACATAAGGATGTGAATGGATATTCTAGATAAACATAGTTTTCATATTTTAAGATAACATGTTAATTTCTTCAAAATATTTAGAAATATAAATATTTCCTATTTTTAAACTACTTATTGCACTGTAGACACGATTGTGAAATCATTAAAAACAATCCTTGCTATTTGCTGATATTCTTAACTTACGCAACTTTTAATTTGCTTTTTATATCTCAGTACTTGTACATGTGACGGTAAACAATATTTTGTTTGCTAGTAATTCAAGCTTTGTAGATAAACATATTTCTTAAAATCCATTTTAATGCTGAATGATCATCATTAGCTTTTTTTAAATCTATATACTTTTTATATATTTTTTCCAGAAATATACATTGGAGAACAGTACTCAAACTCCAACTGCACCTCCACGAAGTGATACTTTGAACTCATTAGTAGATCGATTTAGTAAAAGATCAAATCAATCATTGCCAGATTGTTCTGTTCCATCATCATCATCAGAAACAGGTGAATGCTCAGGAGCTTCAGGTGGTAGTCAAAATACAAAAGATAATGAAGAAGTTGCAGCTAGTAGCTCCAACACTTCTCCTCCAACTCCTCCTGAGAGGTAATATATCAAACATTTTTATTTGAATTCTTTTTGATTTTTCTCATATTTTATTAATTCTTTAACTGTTGACTTGTAACTCATATTGAGGTTAAACCTAGTTGTTTCCAATCAAAATGAATTGGTTTTTCTCTATGAGAGAAACATTGTAGAAAAACATCTCAGAAACATTTGTACGTTTTCCCCATACATGCTTTTTGATTTAGAGAAAACAATTATTGAATTCTTAATTAATCTGTCTATTCTAATTATTCTTTTCTAACAGTGAATAATTCTGTCTTAAAGAATATGCAAGGAATGTATGTAAAAACTATGATTCATGCCAGAACATAAAATATTATTTTTGACTTATTACACATATTACCACAAATATGCTGTTTATCTTGAAATTGTGGTACCTTAACTTTTACAACCTCCCTGGCTCACAGCAGCCTTTTTGGTAAATACTTTTCTTCTTTATTGAAAGGTCTAAAGAATTGTAATGCATTTATGAAAAAAGTGTTCATGTTCTCTATTTTAAGAAGTTTATATAAAGTTTTGAATGGCAATACACATAAAGTTTTAAGTTAATGTTAGTATTGACATTAATTTTTGGGTGAATAAAAAAAACACATTGTGTAAATTTATTTTGAGGAATTTTTTCAAAATTAAGAAAAAAAAGTATATGGGTACATAACTAATATCTTTATTTTATTTAAAATTGTATCCTTTTTTTACAATAGGTACAAACGCATTCTCCAAGGAAAAAAAAATCTGAGAATTATAGTTGTCAAAATTTTTTTAAGTATGCAATGTCGACTAGCTGTTTATTTTATATAAATAATAGAATTTTATTGAAGTATTTTTTAATATTTCAGTTTATTACTTATTCTTATAACCCTAGAAATATAATGACAAAAAATTTGCATGTTTAAATGCTTTTTAAATCTAGTTCTCCCAGAGACTAAAACAAAATGATTATCATTAGGCTTTCAATATGACTGCATTGCATTAAAGTTATAAACTCATAAGATTAATTATGATTTTGATGAACAGAAGCCCCCACTTTTTAAAAACTAATTAATTCCTTTACTTTGCATTTGATCTGTTACCTACAAACATGGTTTAAAAATTAGTCTGAATACAGCAACTAAACAGCAATAGTTTTTTTTAGATTGCGAATTATAAATGCTAATTAAATTATTTTTTTTAAAGTGATTGATATTTTTTGCATCTTTTTCTCAGACAAATCATAAGATATCTGAATCTTCATGTGTCATAATTTTATACTTTTAGTATATATAATAATAAATATATGAAGTAAAGATGTTAAGTTGACCTTTACAATCACTTGGGCATTTGGATTGTTTGTTTTTTTTAAATTTATTTTTTAACTCAGGGCCTAAGCAAGTGCAGTTGTTATTGATATTATGAAATTAAAAAAATAAAAAAAGATTTTAATGAACCTAAGAGTCATATCATAACCCTATCATAACCTGAAATGAAGGTTATGATAGGGTTAAAAGGAAAGAATGCAATATGGAGATAAAAACCATTTCTATTGTTCAAGAAAAAACATTAATTTTTACTTTTATGTTAACAGTGTACACCATAAAATTATTAAATCAGTTTAATTCTATACTGTAATGAAATGGTTTAAATGCTTTATAAAAATATTTAGCAGCCACACATGCCACCCAATTACCAGAATTTGGATGAGTTGCAAGTACTTGGTTTTAATTTGAGTTTGAGGGAGGGCAGCAAGGTATTTCAGAATGCATCTCTCAAATCCTTTATAGGATTCAAAGAAGACAAGGTTTAATATTTTTAGTTTGAAGAAAAAGGAGGCTAGCTGTGGCCTAGTTTTGTCATCTGTATGAAAGAGCATCTCTATCGTATTCGAATCTTTTCTATTCTGGCTGCCTTCTCTGTAATTTGGCAAATCTAATGAACGGACACCACTTTCATCGATGTGCATCACTTTGCAGCCACTCTGAGTCAGATTCTTTAAGGCATGCTAGAAAAATTTTGTCAATGACTTTGGTCACTTGTTTTAATGGTATTTTTCTTCTGCACTTATTATTGTTTTTGTATTTCTTTTTCTATTTGTTCCTGCCTTGATATTGGAAAAGAAAATTTGAAGAAAAAGATATTTTAAGTATGGAGAATATAGGACTTGAAGTTTCTTGATCCAGGATTGAGTGATGATGAGGCACCTCAAAATTACCAAATGATAAACTCAAAAACTTCCCTTCACTTGTATACAAAAAATAATATATTCCTATAACTTATCTTAGATAATAATATCTCACTTTTGGAATATGATTTGAAGGAAATCACTTTTCAGTCTAAATCTGAACTCATCACTTAATCTGACAATGACCCACAATGATTGTAACCATTTTTGTTCAGATTTGAGTCGATAAAAACTGTGAATCAATCAGCATAAAGACTTAATATGTCTTGTAAATAATTGTTGGTCTTTGGTAAAATTAACATAGTTTTTCACCTTAATAATTTAATATAGGTGTTTTTGTATCTTATGTATTAACTTGCAGTGATGATTATGATTGAATTTATAGTTTAATGACATATAAGATAGAAGGTTGAAAAATTTAACTTTGATTTAAGTTTGCTTATAAAGATTAAAAATATCAATGAGGATATGAAAATTCAAATTGTGATTTAAGTTTACTTATAAAGATTAAAAATATCATGGGGATAATGGTAGGCTTTTAACCAATATTTACTAAAAGAAAAGCAAAAATAAAGTCTTAAGTATTATGATACATTTTAGTCGTAGTATGTCACAAAATTATTTTGTTCTTGTATATGCAATTCATTTAATACCATTTTTTCCCTCTTTTTTTTATATGAAGATATGACTCTTTGTATGTTGCAATCAGTGAGGAGAAAAAATTACGAGGTGCTCCCTGGTTTCAAGCTGGGATTCCAAGGTATTATTTTGATTACTATTTATTTAATAATTGATATTATATTACTATAAATGATTTAGGAAATATTAGATTTGATACTAACTCCTGAAAAATTGTATCTTAGTATTATTAAAGAGTATCTACTTGGTATTAATGTGTTCTATAGTATTCGAAACTAAGGTGTTTATGGTGCTATTCCTTGATATTCTGTAGTGGCAACATCTAGTGATGAATTTACCTTATTGTATAAATATATTTGATCTAAATTCAGATTGGCATATCTCCATAACTGGTCCAGATTTCTGTCTCATATTTTATACAAGTGTAGTATTTGATTGATGAGCGCTAATGTACTGTATGATGGAGTTGTTTTTAAAAAATGTATTTTTTCAGAAGTTGTTTTAATTTTTGCTTATTTTAAAGCCTCATATCTTTTTCTTAAATGTTTTTTTAAACAAGCGTTAGAAAAAGCTAATTTTAATTTGTATTTTCATGCGGATGTTCATTTATGTGTTAAACCTCTTCGTACATAAAAATTAAAATATATGAATAAAAAAATTAAAATTTTCTAAAAAATTTATGATTTTATAAATTAAAACTAGCTCACTTGCTCAAAGGAATATATTTTTTCCTAATAGGAGCTATGAAGTTGAAAAACAGCAATTAAATGCTTCAAAAGTAGTAAAAGCTGTGTTGTGAATTCGATTAAAATTGTAATGGTTCCAAAATCAGTTAAATTTTCCATTATAGGAGAGTATGTATTAGGTATGTCAGGTTTAGTATGTATTATTTATATATATACATACATTTGTGTTTAGGTATGTATATATGTGTATATGTATATAATTTCCATCCAGGTAAGTAATCATAGTGCAAAAAGATTAAAAGAATTTAGCAATCATTTTTCGCAGACCATTTGTGGTTACTGGACTAGATTTTATGGACTTTAATGTCCAAAACATTCTAATAACGGTAAGTGCACACTCATTGTTTTTATAAAGAAGCTTCAAGAGCAGAGCGTGGCCCTTCATAGTCAGAGTCATGATGAAGCTTTCAGGTAAGGAGCTGGTGCTCTGCATTTTTATGGCTGAATAATTTGTATATCTCCAGAAAATTTGAATCCTGACAGCACCATCTATCGGCAGATTTTGGAACTATGTTTTCTTTCGCCAAACAAATTTCCATTACCTCATGATTGTTCTGCTAAAATATCAGGTCATTCTAATGAGTTAAAATTATCGATTTTTGAGTTAAAATTATCGATATTTGACTTTAATTATAATCAACCTGTACTTTCTTTTTTTTTTAAAAATGTGCCCACTTTTTCACAAATACCATGTGGTTTTTCTCTTTCCAGTAGTGGTCTTCATTTTCCAGACATTTCTTCATTCAGAATCTACTGCATAACTAATCATTACATCATAATCATTCAGATGAAGATGTTATTAAAATATTAATTATTTATTAAGATTAATAGCTTATCAGTTTCAAAAAGACATATTTTACGGTGCATTCATTTTATAAACAAAGATTAGATATCTAACAAGTTGAAGATTATTTATACGTAAAGTGATACTTTAATAAGGCATTCATCACAATTTTCCCCTTCTTGTGTGCCAGGGTGAATGTTGAGTAAGCTGGGACCGTGTTTTAATATTGCACATGTAGTTCAATGACTTGACATAGAATTTAAGTTACTGTCAAATTGTGTTGATTGTGGAGTAAACTCTGGCTTAATTAGTTAATCTAGTGGTGCAATTCTGTGTGATAGATGGGAAATAACAGATTTTTTTCTGATGAACAGAGCTGTACTACTGCTGTCTGCATAGGAATGTTGCAAGTTCTAATTGTACAGGGTCACTAATTGTGAGGTTGAAAACGAGAAAACTCCTTATGTCTTAAAGAAATGGAGGAGTTCGACTACTGTTTACCCGGTCATGAGATTGACTGTGTGCCCTCTTATCTAAAATATACACAGTCCAGTCACATTAATGTGACCACTACCTACTTTCGATGTCAACGGGAAATAACGAATCACAGAAGGCCGGTGGCAGCACATTACAGTGGAGTGTATATAAAGGATGTCCTAGGGCATCGAAAGCATTTCAATCGTTGGCGTAATGCAGAAACATAGCAATTTATCCAACGTCCAAAAGGGCATGATTATTGCTTTCAGGCCAAGGGTGGAAGCATTTCGGAAATGACTAATTTCGTGAACTGTTCGCGTGCCACCGTGGTAAAAGTATACTGTGCATGGCAAAATGGCACTATCCAAATTCGGCGTCGTGGCACATGTGGTGCACCACGGGTTATAGATGTCAGAGACGAACGAAGGCTACGGAGATGCGTTTGGGCGAATAGACGTGCAACTGACCGCCCAGATGAACCAATGGGCTACCAAGAGTGTAACCTCAACTACAGTTCAACGAATGTCACGCAGCGGCCCGCTCTACCGAAGGTGGTTATTCTGGCTTTTGACAGGTGGTCACATTAATGTGACTTGACTGTGTATATCCCGTTTTATAGAGCATTCACCACTCTCTCACAAGCATATCAAAAGTTTAATGCTATATAAACCAATTCAAACATATGATTTTATAATCTTTCTTTTTAAAAGTTAATTTTTTCCTTATAAATCATTTTGAGTCATGTGTGTATTTAAGCTATTATTAGTTAATTATAAAAAGCAAATCAAACGGGACTGTTAATGTGATAAGTACATCCATTACTTGCTTAATAGTTAAATATTATTTGAAATGATAATAATAGTCTAAAGTAACAATTTAATAGTAAATTAAGAATTTCTTTTCTACAGTACAGAACCCATTATCCGGAAATCAGAAAACCGGAAAATCAAAAAACCGGAACGAAATTCGATAAGTTTTCCCGTAAGTTTTTTTAAAATGTTTTTTTCCTCATAAGATTTCAGGATTTTTCTTTCTTTTTTGAAAGATGTTTACCTTACCATCATTTGGGAAATAATCATTAGCGTATTACTTCATCGTTTTTTCTTCGTTTTAAGATTATTTCCAAATATTTTTCTTTTTAGTTGAGTTATACAATAAAAAAAACGGCTTTTTGTAGTGATTCAGAAAACCGGAAAAATCAGTTATCCGGAATAGTGTTGGTCCCGATCGTTTCGGATAATCGGTTCCCTACTGCTATAAAATCCTTGTTTTTTAACTTAATACTTGCCAATCAAGTGCATATGGATGTGTTGAATAGTTTCATGAAAGATTTCAAAACCTTTTTAGAAATTTTGGCTGAAAAATAATCCTACTGTCTATATCAGCCCTCTTCCATTAATATTCACACATAAACCTCTAAATCTTAACCTTTTAAAAATTTACACCAGACTAAAAATTAACTTGACTAAAAATTAACTGAATATTAATATAACATAAAATCTTTTGGTTTTATAGACAATTATTCAGTTCAATGCAAAGGGAGTCACTTATGCAATGAGTAGCACAGGGAAAATTAATTAAAGAGAATGACAGAGAAGTGAAAAGGGGAATCAAAGAATTTACATGACCTTAATGAAATATGATGAAAGGAATGTAAAATAATAGTGATATGTCAGCCAGAGTAAAATAAGGAATGCCATTAATGTCATTGAGAACCTATGTTTTCTTTGATTTGATGTTTCCAGTTTGTCCTTTTTATTGAATTGACATATTTATTTCAGTTGTGGGTTTTCTTCAGCTTTTTTTTAGCGCTGAAAATAATTTTTGATAATAGCATTGAAACAAATGATAGGATACTCTTTGGAGCATTATCTGTTTCAATACTGTTATCAAGTATCCTCATTCTGGATTTCATTGACTTTTAAATAATTGAATACTGAACAATTGAATAAATTAACTGTGTAGGAAAATAATATAACTGAAATACTAATGTAATCTGTTTTTTTCTCTCAGGGAAATTGCTCTGGAAATACTCAATCAAGAACCGGTTGGTTCATTTATGGTTCGGGAAAGTACTAGCAAGCCTGGGTGCTTTGCTTTATCTTTACGTGTGCCAAGAGAGTACCACCGATCAGGAATAGCACATTATCTCATCTTGCGCACTCATCGAGGCTATAAAATTAAAGTAAGCTTATTTTATAACGCACGCTTGATTTATTGCTTACACACTTGATTTATTGCATTGCATTTAAGACAAAAAAAATTTGATTTTCAAAATACCCAAGTTGTTTGTAGTCCGTGAACTACTACCGTGTTCTACTTGTTTATATAGTGTGCTGTGAAAAACTTACTTTAAGCGATGGATTGTATTATCAAAATATTATCTCTATGGTAATAGTTAAAGATTCATCATATTGTAACATAAAATTTAAATGCAATTTATTACATAGTTAAAAAAATCCTATTTCGAACTTTTCTGTAGCCAAAATCAGTCATAGAATTTTGGGGTTGGCTTAATAAAGAAGTGGAATTTTGTTTGGCAAAAATAATTAATTTTTAATTTGTGTTGCGAGAGAGATTTGTGTTGTGTTGTAAAACATGTTTTGTGCTTTGAGTGCGTTTGAAGGGTCTGGAAAATTGACACTACAAAAATTGTACCTGATGAAAAATCTTTTTTAAAGACACCATTAACATTGCTTACATACTCTTTGCTCAATTGTGGAATATGCTGGCTTGCAATTTAATATGGTTTAAGAATAAATAATTATTAATTATTTTATGCATGGAATTATCTTGACGTAAACAAATTTTATAACTTTTGCAATTCACTTGAATATTTCTCGACATATAAAGAAATACACAATAAATGTCTGAAGAGGCTCAAAGTTTCAAGTGTGTTAATGCTTAAACAATTGGACTCATATATTTCAGGGAAATCATTTGTCTTAAAAATAGTGTGTGACATAATGTTTAGTGTATGTTAGGTGTCATGAGGAGAAAAAGCAGATCCATTATAGGTTCATTGGTTTTTATACAACTGTATTGATAACAGTCAGAGATACTCCAATTAAAGTTCAGTGCTAGACAGTACATTTGACATACATTTTGAAATAATGGTCATAGTTATTATAAGAGACATTAAAATTATTGCATTTTAGGTTAGATTCAAATTGATAGTACAAAATGTATAAATTAATAAATAAGTTTCTTCTCAAACTTTTTTAGGGCTTCACTAAAGATTTTACAACTCTGTCTGCTTTAATAACTCATCATTCTGTGATGCCAGAGTTGTTACCTTGTCCACTTTCTCTGTCTCGATATAACCCTTCATTCAGAAACCATGATTCAGAAGATATGGTTGATTCTGACTACAATTTGTTGTCTGATTTTCGAAAAATTTTGTCTGATTTAAATGTCTAATACTTATAAGTTTCCCAGATGTAAAACTTGCCTACTTCCTTTACGGAAAATATGTGATAACAAAATGTATTTTAAAATGTGCTAGCCAAGGTTTTTCTTTTAAAAAATTGTAATATTACACTGCTAAAAAATTGAAACAATAATATATTCTGGCTATATAGCTGACATAATGAAATATTTACTTTTTCTTTTCCTTTAATAAACAAGTTTAAAATAGCAAGTTTTGCAACTGGGTCACTCGTATGTATGTTTTTTACAAATCATTTGAAAGCTTTTAGTTAAAAAGAAATGAAGTTAAACAATTCTGTAACTAAGTTTTTTTAAGCAAAATATCTAAAAAAATTTTAGTGTGAGAGAATATTTAAGTATACACAGTCCAGTCACATTGATGTGACTACCTGTCAAAAGGTAGTTTAACTACCTTTCGCAGTTCAGTCTGCTGCAAAATGCACAGGAAGAAAGTGAGTTAGGTTATTGAAGGTGTTCACTGAGTTGTTGAGCCAGGCTGACTCCAGTATAGGCAAACTATACATTACATGGTTGAGGATACAAGGCGCAAACCCAATTGAAGTGGTCCCACAGCTTCTAGATTGAGTTTGAGTTTCAAGGAGTTTGGTGACTAGAGGAGTATAGTTAATAACTCATCTTGGTGCTCTTTGAACTGCACACATATACTTCCAGCTGTATGGCAAATCATTTTATCCTGCTGGTAGATACCATCATCCTGAGGAAAATTAATATAGTGGACATGACCCACAAAGACAGATGCATATTTGTGCTAACCCATCATACCTTCCGTAATGATGAGTGCACCCAAAGAATAGCACAATAACATTTTCCAGACTATAATGCTCCCTCTACCAGCTTGGAACCTTCCGGCAATTGTTGAAATGTGTCAGCTTTCAGACGTTTCACTCCATACATGCAAACTTCCATCTATCTGATGGCCCATAAGAGGTGATTCATCAAAAAAAAAAGATGGTTCCCTTTGGTTCATCTGGATAGTAAGTAGCTTAAGGGTTACACGTCTATGGCCCATGGTGCACCATATTTGTCGCATTGCTGATTTTGGATTGTGCCATTTCACCATGCAAGGTATACCTTTACCATAGCAGCACATGAACCTTTTAAAAAATTAGATGTTTTGGAAATGTTCCCCTTCTTCAGAAAGCCTATTCATGCCCTTTTGGACATTGGATAAATTGTTCGGTTTCTGTCAACCATTACAATGCTTTCCGATTCCCTCGGACACCCTTTATGCTTCACTGCAATGTTCTGCTACCTGTGTGATTAGTAATTCCACTTTAATGTGACCCTATTTAGGTGATGGTCACATTAATGTGACTTGACTGTGTTATTTGTTTAAAAGATTTGCTTTGAATTAGAATATTAATTTATCAATGGATAAATGTTATGTGTGATAAGATGTATGTAGTTAAAAAGTTTTTACATCTACATAAATTTTGTTTTTGTTTTAAGTTGCCAAATTATTTTATAGTTATAAGAACAAAGTATTGCTCTTAATTTAATAACCCACCTTGAAACTCTACGATGTTCAATGGAGAATTTTGTATGCTCATTATGGTAGTGTCTTTGTCAGTAAAAATTAGTTAACGTTACATTTTATATAAGGTTCCTTGATTGAAAAATCTTTCCTATTATTTTGGGAACTGTTTCAGTGATCAAAGAATATAACTTTGATGTTGTCTTAAGAGCTTGATGTATTTAATTATACTACTTAATATTAATTAAATTTTTTAAGTTGTTTTTTTAACATGTGACAAATCCATGCAATTTAATATTGCTACTTAATATGTCAAAGTGATTCACTGATAAATACTGTGTTTAATGGTGTTATAAGAAGCAGATTCTTACATTTCTATATCCAGAGATTTCTTACATTTTAAATTATTTTGCTGATAATTGTGTTATATTAATATTTACAATTATTTAAAATGAAAATTATGTAATTAATTATTCAGGTAAAATTTGGCAATTCATTCCTTCTCTAATTTTCATTTCTTTTTAAAATGATTTATTTTATTGGTTAGATTTTTAAAAAAAATATCAGCATGAAAGAAGTTCTTATTCAAAAATAAGTTTACAACATGTTAAACTTATTCTAAGTCTGAACAATAATGTTAATCCAAATTAAAAATTTACATTTAATTTTCGATTTAAGTCTGTTTTTCTATCAAAGCCCATGTAAAAATGCGCAACACTGTAATTTTTCTTAAAATCCTCTGAATCGATTTTCAAAAATATTTTGTTATTAGAATTCTCAACTCTTCTTAAATGAAAAAAGTTGATTTTAAATGTATATATATAAAAAAAAAAATGTATATCAAAAATTTCTAATAAAATCAATTTGTTCAAAATATGCAATTTAATAAAATGAACAAAATATAAAAAATTTGAAAAACTATTCAGTAGTTTCTTTGGAATAAAGTAGGCTATTTTTCGATCTACATTAAAAACCTATGAGGATGTAATTCTCTTTAAATACATACTATCTTTTAAAAGTGTCTTAAATGTCTTTGAAATTCAAAGGTAAAATTTTTAATTGCTCTTCTTTTAATTTGTTCTAATTCTTGGTAAATCTTATTTAATTCTTGGTAAATCTTATTTAATTCTTGGTAAATCTTTAAAAGCAAAATAATCTTAAATTTAAAACATTTTAGTTGGATGTTATTTTATAAAGAGTTATGTTTTGTTATAAAATAGAATTTAACAGTTTGATTGATAACTTTAAAGCATGAATTTTTTTTTTTAAATAAATAAAGAAATCAACTGAAAAATGGGTGAATTTAATGAAAAAAATGCCAAAAAAATGTTTTTTTTTCTTCAAATTTTCAAAAATACATTGATGTATTTTTGCATTATCAGGAACAATCACTCCTTCATTTCTATTTATAAATCTATTGTGTACAAGAATATAGTATTTCAAACTTAAATTTTATATAAATAATCGTAATTCATAAAAACTGCATAAATGAAATTGTACTCAGAGAGTATACCAACTATAAAAATTGCTACAGATAAACTAATAAAGTGTCAAAGATACTAGTTTTGTTTGGAAATGATAAGTAAAATAATTTTAGTAAAATTTAAAGTGAAAAAAAAATGCAGATAAAGGTTTCTAAATAAAGGGGTTTTAAGCATATTATGCAAATTTACATTGTTATACATTTAAGGGTTAAAATGTATTCATGAAGAATTAGCTGACTTTATTTTAATATATCAATGTTGTTCTAACATTTTCAGACTTTTTTTTTGTTGAAAAATGTGTCTTTTTGGTTCACTAAAATTTTAGGGTGCAATTTAAATATTTATTACATTAACATAATTTTGACTGATTATAATTATTTTTCTTATATTATTTATGTAACAAAAATCCAAGTGTTAGTGAAATTATTTGAGTTTTTTTTAAAAAATCTGCTTAAAATAAACATTAATGCTGAAATTCTTGTTGCAGATTTGTGATTTGAGTCCATTCACGAAATGGTATTATTATGTTAAATAAGTCTGGGTCCTTTATCATAGTCCAGAGCTTAACTAGAGGATTTGTTATGCAGTAAATATTTTAAGAAATTATTTTTTTAATCATTTTAAATTTTATACCTTACCAATTTAAAAACACTGTTCTTCACCACATTTTATCATTTTCAAAGTAAAGAGTCAACAATTTTAGTTCAATTACTTTAAGAGGGGGAGGGTTAGTTTTTGGCAAACAAAAATATTTAAGTTGCAAGTAATGTACTAAATAATGTTCTGATCAGTAAAGACAGAAAGAACAATGTTCATTTTTATAATATATGTTTATAAAAATGTATGCTGCAAGTTTATTTTTTTTTTTGTACATACATTTAGGTTAATTTTTTACTCAATGATTATTATTAATGCCAGTTTCGAATTGATTTATTAATTAATTTTGCGGAAATATTCAGCTCATTAAAATTAATCAAAATCTGTGATATTAGTGTAAATGAAACACTTCATGACTTATATTTTTTATAATATGTACAATCATATCAATTATTTTTTTCAAAATAGTTAGCTCAATGGTTTTCATTATTATACGTCAGTAGGTAATTGTTTTTGGCTATTTGATTTAACTATTAATTAAATCTTATCTCTAATCTTTGTTTAAAACCCCATATCAAGTATCCATAAATATTTTTTCACCTTGCAACCAGATTTTCGTTTTATGTAATCAAAGAGGCTTTATCTAAGAATTCATAGTCTGTTACTAGATAACAGAAAAATCTTTGAACATTTTCTTTTCTTTAGAACTCCTACTAAGAATCTGTGATTTATTAAAACAGAGACTATTTAATTGATCTGAATGTTCTGTGAATATAACTGTTCTTGTTATGTTTTTGTGACATGGTATGTGTACTACTTATAATATTTATTATTGTATATCAAAAGTCAATGTAAATGTTTACATGTCTCTATTGGCAAAGTGATTTTGTGTGCTGTAAGCTGTTATTCAGTGTGATGCTGCAAACTGTTTCAAGATTTTTTTTACCTTTAGTCATTTTTAACTAGTCAACATGAAATTCAGCTGTTTAGTTCATAAATTTTATTCTGAATTTTGACTTAATATTAATTTTTTATTGCGTCTAAAATAGTTACGTTAATATAATTTAGATAGATGATTATTGAAATTGATTTTGACTTGCAGCTCAGACTATTTGAAGAAAGTTTTCTTTTTCTGTAGAGTGTATATAGTGTTTGCAGATGTTATTGCTTGTGATTATGTTATTGTTTTATTGTATTAAAATACTAAATATTAATTCCTGAAAAATAGGAGACAAAATTTTTCTTCTTATATTGAAACATTTAAGAGCTGTATTAATGAACAACTCTGTTGTTTTTGTGATATGAATTTTAATAAATGGTACATAAAACTTTTATTTGAGCTTTCACTTATTTCAGACAAACACTCAAAATATTTTCTAATTCCAACAAAAATATTAACTTCTAATATCTTATATTGAACTTGAAACTAATATAAAATATTAGTTTCAAGTTCATTATGAGAGGAGAATACAAAATGTATTATGTTTAATTTAAAATTTTAGTAATTTCTAAAAATCTTATAAAATTGCCTGACATCTTCTCGATTGTGCCTGTTGAGTAAATCAGATAAATATTAAATATTTAAAGAACTGAAGAAGCCAAAACATAGTCTCTTACAACATTCTAAAAAAAGTGAGACATTTTGTGTTGAAAAAACTGCTATAGTCAGCTTTATGTGCAGATCATAATGCAGAACATAGTGTTTTCTGAGAGGTCATTAAATAATAGGTTTTAAAAAGGTTTTCAATAGGAAAATATTTTTAAAGCTGATATTTCTTTTTCATTCTAAATATTATTTATAAAAAAGATTAATGTTTTGGAATAATTTTTAAATTAAAATCAAATCATTTATTTTAAAAAAATCACTAAATATTAAGGAGTTTTATTATAGAAAATTTTGTTTAAAATTATATTTTTATGATGATTTCTTTTTAATTTTATTCTTTAATTTTTTAAATCTTCTCTGCTATCAGTGATGTTTTTGTAAGCTCTAATCTTTATTTCATTTTGAATGATTAGTCAATAAATTATTGGCATACAAATTTTTGCGCTTCTGTACAGTTCTCCAAATATTAAGGTACAACACTATTCTAAGGAATGCTTTCAACAAATCATTAATAAATTTAGAAAATTTAGTTATGAAGGATAATGTATATATGAACATTCAATTTTTCTGACACATTTAAACAACACTCATTTGAATGCGCCACTCATTTTCTGATAATAAAAATTTGTCTCTAGGAAAAATGGAAACAACTTTTTTTAAAAATTTTTTAAGGGATAAGTTATTAAATCAATGTAAACATATCAGTTTTTAAAATGTAATTGATAGTATCAAAAAGTCATTTACCTGATTCTTTAAGAGGAAGATCATTGGTTGAGTGAAATAATATTGTTGTGGCTGTAAGAATTAAGGATATTGCACCCAGAAGATATCTTCCCGAAAGATTGTATGCAAAGGAAACTGATTTGGTATGACTCTTTAAACGAAATTTAAAGAAGTGATCAAAAGAATTTAGTTAATTCAGTCTCCGCCAAGTCAAGTGACAAATTTGATTATGAATGGCAGTAAGTATATATATACACATTATGAATGAGACTTGATTCACTCTTAAAGTTACTGCCTTTCATCTTGTTCTGACCTGGAGAATGCAAAGAACTATTACAATGAATTCAAGATAGCTGTAAAGCATAGTTCAGTTAAAGTGAAATGATAAATAAAAAATTACAGTGACACATTTTTATGAATGTTTTATGTCCTCTTACATGGTTATATCCACTTAAACAAGTGGGGAAAAAATGAATACTCACGTATATGACACAATATTTTCATTTGTTTACGAGATATGCAAAATGAATACCACTTAAACAAGTAAAAACATTGTGTATACTCACTCGCAAATCATATTAGACTTTCAATACGCAAGTAAAAATGCTTCAATGAATATAATTATGAATAAATTAATTGATGGGATTGTATTTCCTCGGGATCCCAACTTTTAAGAGTACCTCAAATTGTAGTTGACTATTTATTTTTAAGACTTAATTACATTGCTTGAAAAAATTTAATAGCTTCAGATTTATTTAGAAAAAATATTACTGTAAGCAATTAAAAAAAATTAAAAACTATGCGACTAAAACTATAACTTTATATTTAAGCCAAATGCATCTTCAAAAAGGCCTCCAAATAGACTTGTATCCAGGGTCTAAAAAACTTAAATTCTTTGACTGGTGATAATTTGATTGTTATAGACTTACTTTTAGTAAATTCAAATTTTATTCGTAGACATTGAAAACTTAAAAATTTTTTGTGCATTATCTCATTATTACATGACTTATCACTGAAATTTTGGCTAGAGAATAGCAACAAATACTACTAATAAAATAAAATAATAAACTGCAATAGCAAAAACTACTAATAAAATAAGTTTCTTATTTCAAACTTCTAAAATATAATGGTTATTATTCAGTGACATAGCATTTTTTTACTTTCAGATGTAAAAACCTTGAAAATTTAAATTTTAATCATGTGTGTATCATCTCATGTTTATTTTTTTAAATACTTGTACACCAGTTATAAAATTCAATTTTATGCTTTTAATCCGTTTTATGCTGTGTGTATTAGCATTGCAATTCATTGCGATTGTGCTAAGCAATATCACCCATTGATCATGACACAAAAAAAGCTTACATTGCATATATTTTCCTTAAGTTTAGCCTGAAATAATTAAATCAAATATTTTAACAAAATTTTAGCCTTCTTAAGTCTTTTTTTTTTATTGATTTCTTATTTCTTCAATTGTAAGTTCTTAAAAAATGTATCCAATTTTGTACACATTCAAAATGATATAGAACAAAACATTCATTTTATCACCTAATGACAATCTATGTACACTTAAGCAAAAATATAAATTAATTCACAACAAAATATTTGAAACACATGACAGTAAAACATTCTAAATGGCACATTTTCAATACCAAAACCATGCAAAGTAGAATTTTATGGCTGAGAAAATAGTTCACTTTTATAGTTTATCAATATTTAAATATCAACACTAGCTTTTAAGTTCTTAAGCCACAGCAATTTTCAATTGCTCCCTATAAATGATAATCTTCTTTGTATTGTGTCTTCATTTTTTTGGTAAATTTCACAGTCCTGAGTTTCATTAAACATTCTTGGCACTTGATTCAAAAAATGCTCATTTAAATGATTTGTGTAATGACTTCTTGATAAAGTTCTTTAGAATATATTTTTTAAGCTCATCGGATTAACTGATGCCAATGATAATATCTTCATCATAAGGTCCAAACAATGATCCTGAAAAAAAAAAAAAATAGAAATTACCGAAAATATTATCTTTCGCACCAATTTCAATTGTGACTAAATCAATTGACTAAATCAATTATGACTTATTAGTGACTAAATCAATTATGACTAAAATTCAGCAGTTATGTTATTATTATATCTATCATACCCCATATTCAGTTTTATTCATATAGATTAAGTAGAAAGTGGTTAAATATGTTTGATTTTTATTGCATTAATACCTGGGTCACTTATTTTTAATATTTTGTATGTAAGTATTAAAAATCAGGAAACTAATTGGAAAATAACTAAAGATAGCGTTTTTATCAGAAAAGTTGAAAATCCTTTAAATAGAAAGATGCAATGTAGAGCTTCATAATAATTATCTAAATCAAAAATTATATGAACTAAGAAAAAAAGTTCTACTCTTACAGTTTAATTTGTGTATGGGTGTTACTCATATCGGTATACATCCAAATCAATAAAAAAAATCTATGTTCAATCATAAGTTAAAAACAGTTTTAAGAAATTAATAATTTTTTAGCTAATATTTAAAGGGAAGAAATTTTTAGATCTCAATTATATTTATTTATTTAGTTATCATTATTATCATTTGCCTGAAAATAATTACCGAATTTAATAAGTACTTGAACTAGAACAGCTTTTTTTTGGAAAAAAATGGTTACATTCTTAATGATACGTTTGATGTATGCTGCCATTGCGAAAATGTATACTTAGAAAATATTTATGATGAAATAATAAATTATTATTCTCATTCTCGCTGCCGCATCTTTGTTCCAAATTTAAACAAATACTGATTTTACACAAAGAAACAGGCAAGTTTGTAATAGGTCCGTTTTCAGGCAAAAAGAAAGAAAAAAAAACGCACTGTAATGAGTCTATTAACCAACCCTAATTTCTTCTAAATCACACTGTAAGACTTTTTAATATCACCCCCAATGAGAGAAGAATAAAGAAAGTTATATTCATGCTGATAAATTAAACACAAATTACTGTTTTCAATACTGCAAGTCGATCCAATCCATCCTGATGTACAAGTGCATTTGCCAGTTATCGGATCACATGTCCCTCCGTGTTGGCACTTGCAACGCTGGCGACACCCAGGTCCATATTTGCCACTGGGACAAACTTCAATTCAAAAAAGGAAAAAATTAGTATTTTTTTTCCATGTATTCATTTATTCGAAAAGTATTGCATTGCTACATTTTATAAATATTCACAAAAAGAAAACTGATGCTTAGTTTAGAGATTTGTTGGACAAATGGACATATACGAAGAGCTTAGTGGAAGAATAGGTTAAGTGTCATATGGAAAGCAGAAAGCACTCTAAATATCAGATTTGAGAATATGTTATAATCAGCTATAAATTAAAGAAAAATATATATTCTTTAAAGTACACAAATAAGGCAGACTTTAATCGAAAGAGAAGTTTTGCAAACAGCTTCCTGATGTTTAGGTAAATAAAAGTAGATTTTCTCAAATAAATTTAATGAAATGTCCAAAGGTATTTTTCTTTTAATAAGTTCTCCATATTATTTAAGGACTATTTTGTAACTAAAATTAAAAGCTTAAAAGAAGAGGAGAGCAATTAAAAAACATTCCCTCTAGGGATATTCTTATGAAAATAACGTGGTTACAATCCAACTAAATATTTAAGATGAAGTTCGTAAAAAAATAAACGGACCACCTTAAATAACTTTTGATCTAGCAACCAGAACTTCCCGTTCTAGGACTTAATTTACTGGTTCAAGAGGGTAATCTCAAATATGCTAATTAATTAGTTTTAAAAATACGACGTTTTCAAACTTCGATTTCTCAGGAACTATTCGACCGCTTTGGCTCAAATTTTGTATTTTGCCATTTAAAATTGCATTCTTTAAAATGATGGCAAAGATTCTATGACTTACAATTCAAAACTTTTTCGACTATTTTTAGAAAAAAAATAATAAAAAAAATATATAATAATAGTTATATTTTGCATGGAATTATCTTTAGTTAAACGAATTGGGAATTAAGTTAAACTATTGGGACCATATTTCCCAGATTGCGGCAAACTCTTATAGTTTGTGGTCACAATTCCGAATTTGTCGAAAAAAAAAGTATGTTTATTCAGAGAAAGTACGTTCTTGTGTCTGATTTCGTATCTTAAAACATCATCTGCACTAATTAGTGAGCATATTTGATTTCACTTCCTCGAAACATTAAGATACGATTAGCAGATCAAAAGTTATTCAGGGTGGTTCGATTTTTATTTTAGGTCAGTTTTCTTTTACATAAAATTAGAGGACATTAATGTCTCACTTTGGCCATTTGTAGAATTCTTATTAGTATTAAGGTTTCAAAGCGTAATATTTTGTAATTATCAATTCAAAAAATAGAGTAATTTTTAACTGCAGATTAAAAGTATTATTATACCTTCATTACAGAAAGATCCAGTGAATCCTGGAGGGCAAAGGCATACCCCAGTTGTTGGATCGCATGGATGACTTCCACAGCGACATGATTCTTGGCAACCATGTCCGTAAAATCCTTGCATGCATACTGAATAAAAGAAAAAATTAAAAAAAAATAAATTATGATGGACCTTTCAAAAATCACGTTATTTTTCTGTATGATTACAAAAAGCAGGACAGAAATCAAAATCAAAATTAGATTTATCAATTTTTGTTCAGACATTTACATATAACATAAAAAAATAACATAACACATAACATACAAAAAAGATAAAGAAAGCTATAAATCTATAAATTTGTATAAACTAAAAGCAAGAATGATTTCTTTTTTGCAGACTAGCTTTTCCCCCCTTTTAGTTCAAGCTGTTCAATGAACGAAAAAACTGATTTACAAAAATTCAGAAAAAGACAAAATAAGTAAATAACATTTCAAATAATATATCAAAATGTTTTTGTTATTACCACTGACATCAGTTTTTGGTATTACCATTAACGACAGAAACGCTCCTGTGTGTCGGCTGGCAGTGTGTCCCCTGATGAAGCTGACACACATATCTTAAAATATTCTTCGTTTTCTGCTAGAATTGTGTTTCTGACTTTCTAAATTATCGAAAAAAAGCCAGCAAACAATGCAAGTCTTCATGGAATAAATCTATAATCATTAAATTGTAGTGAAAGGAGAAGGTTGAAATTACGGTGTGCTTTGTGTGTAAGGAAATACACTATCAAAAACTCTTGCCTAAGAAATTTTTGAAAGATTGTGTTAAGACTAGAATTTGAGCAAAGATCAGCAGCAAACAGCAAAGCTCAAGTGTATCCATCGATGCGATTCAAAAATATTGAACTGGATGAGCGTGGCTTCAAATATTGACTTATTAACCTTAAGAAAATTTCTTTTTCATCTAAGAGATAAAAAAAAAAGAAGCTTTAAGTTCGTTGTTTCCGTTGAGCTTGAAATCTTAGAATTTCTGAAGAATTCACCTGTTCTCAAACGAAAACTTATCAGTCATTGGCTTGTTTTCAACAGTTTCAAAGACTTGTTTCATATATTAGAGACCAGGGGAGAGTTGTTTTTTATTTTCTCTAATTACTCTAACCACCTGAAAATCAACTCTTTTCAAGTCAGCTTCCTCTTAGAAAAAATGCAATTTTATATTTGATACAATCTCATTGAAATATAAATTATATATTTCTTAAGAGTAAAAGTTATTTTTAGGATAGTAGCAAATCATTCAGAAGAAACATTTTTCGATAAAAAATATTGCATGAAGAATTTGATATCTATCATTTCTGGAGTAAAAAACAGTCTTACATTTTTCTTTTCTGCTTAAATATTTTCAAATTAGTCTTTTAGAATGGGTACAGCTTAAAAGCTGTTGTTTAAAATTATTTGTTATCCACACTGTGTCTCCAGATAGTCTTTTATTTATTTATTTTTTAATCAAAAATATACTTTAAAGAGAGAAAAAGTGAGGCTGTTTGAAATGCAAAGGATTGATTATTTTTGTTTTTAGTCCTTGGTTGTTGCATAAAATAAGACAATAATCTACAATATTCAGAAATTGTGCAGTATTTGAAAATTATTATGTTATTTTTTCAGAAAATGCGACTGCAAAATGTATGAAGAATATTCACAATATATGAATATAAAAGGGCAAGGGCTATGTAATGAAACTTTCTGGCAATTACATATTATTTAATTTTTGAAAAATATTTTCTTACATAATTAAAAAAAATGGATTCTGAAAAAAATATTCAGCTCTGAGGATTTATTTACGCTCAACAATGAAAAAATAAATAAATACAAAACGAACGAATTTTCCGCTATAATTTGAATCCCTAAGTGGTATAATAATTGGGCTCCAAGACAGCAGAATTTCAGTTTTTTACATATTTCTTTTTGTTTTCTTTCGAAATGTTACGAATAACTAATTTATCTTTAAGGATATACCTTGGTGGATTCATTGCATTTTTTTTTTGTATTTTCCTTTATTTTTGATCGTATATAACACATTTAAAGAAGAAACTAAGATCGTAGATCTAATTTCACTTCATTTTAACATAAAATTAAAAATGAAGAAATATCAGCAGAAATATTTTATTCATTACAAATTAATAATTCCTTTTTTGTAAGAATTCATAATTCATATTCCTTACATAAATTAAAATTTATTATAATTGTGAAGTAATAACATAAATAGCGTATTTGATTTAAAAAAGTTTTAAAATCGTGTTTTACATGTAGCATTGACTTAAATTTTAATAGGTAATATATAAGAATAACAATAAAATACAAGGAATGAAGGAATAAATTATAAAAAAAAAAATATATATCTAGGCATAAACCCGTAAATAAGTTGACTACTAATACAATGCACAATGTGTGGTCAAATACAGTTTACACTGATATATTTTTTTACCTTTTTCACACTTGAGCCCATATTGGCCGGCAGAGCAGCTACAAGCACCTGTAGCAGGATGACATAATGTTGTTCCAGAACATTCACACTGTTGTTGGCATGATTTTCCAAACCACCCAGTAGGACATTCTAAATGACCAAATAATAAGGAACATAAAAATCCAGAATTTTGTTAAAGCGATATTTTTATTTATTAACTCTTAGGGTGAAATAGCAATTTCATAACGAGCTAATAGATTTTTTTGAGGGGGGGGGGGACACGAAATTACCCGACTCAAATTCGCTTTAAACGCAAATTATGGTCAATTTAAAAAAACCTCTAAGATTTTTAATTTTTTTATATTTAATTAGAATTTTTTTTATAAATCATTTTAAACGATATGTTACTATTGATAATAAAAAATAACTGGCGTGAAACTCCCGAGTTTTCCCCCTTGTAATCATTTAAAAACTTCGAACATTTCTGCTTAAAAATAATGCATCAATAAATAAACAGTTAACGATGTAAAAAAAAGTATATTTTTGGTTTAAAAAAAATATTTTGTACTCTCAATATATAAAAAATCAATGTGAATAAGAAAAACGTTAAAGGGGGGAAGAAATGCGGTTTTTAATTATGGCGTGGTTTGGTAATGGCGACGAAAAACCGATACCTTCACAAAAATAAAATTCGTAAAGACCATTTCTCAAGAACTATTCAACCGATTTTGTTCAAATTTTGTATTCTGTTATTTAGTAATTTGTAATTTCTGTTATTTCTGTTATTTCTGTTATTTCTGTAATTCTGCTATTTCTGTTTCTGTAATTGCACAAAATATGAAGTTAAAATTTGTATTACTCGCAATTGAAAAAAGTTTTCGGTCCTTATTATATAAATAATAAAAACAAAATAATTTTTAAAATATATATCTTATATGGAATTATTTTTTTTTTATAAATGAATCAAATTGAGTGCAATTTTTTAAAAATTTATTTAAAAACTTCCCGAGAAATGGCGTAATACACAACAAGTGAAATTAAACAAACTTCTGACCACTCTCTTGACTTAACAATTAGGACCGCGCTTACAAGATTGCGGATACTATCCTTCATTTTTAAGTCAAAAATCTAAATCCGTCGAAAAAAAGGAACGCTTATTCAGAGAAAGAACGTTTTAGGGTCCGATTGCGTAACATAATCAGCATCTTGCACAATAGCATTCATGAGGTCACTTCTTTGAACGATTAAGATTAGCATTAGGGCCGGGATAACCTGGTCGGTAGGGTGCTGGGCCCATGTCCGAAAGTTCGTGGGTTCGAATCCCACCGGCCGAAGACTCCTCGTATATTAAATGGCGACTGATGCACGTCAAATCTGTCGAGTCGCAAAGTCCTCCATGTTCCCATAGCAAATCTAGACCTCAGGTTCAGGNGATCACATTTATTGTCTCCACATTGACACTCATTTTTACAGTTGTCACCAAATTTCCCTTGAGGACAAGCTAATAAACAAAAAGAAAGCAAAATGTTAGCGCTCTTAGTAAATTTATGTTCACTTGTTTAATGTAATCATGGTTTTGAATTTTATATACTTAAATTAAACGGGTAAGTAAATTTAATCATATTTAAATTAAACAGGTTGTCCCAAAAATGACCGAACATTTTAAAAATCAATTAAAAAACTAAAGAATATGAAAAGGTACTGTTTGCTGCACTTTGCAAAGGAAACTAAGTATTTGTTCTAAGAAGTTTCAAAACTAGTGACTAAGCTTGTCAACAGTTGGTGCTGATGACTGGAAAACTATGAAATAATATTATAGTGCAGGCTAGAGCCCAGAACTAAAATATTTGTACTGATGCCAGTTAAGAGGCCTTTCCTTTCCCAACCGAACTTAACTGTCGAAAGGGAGACTGGGAGGAAAAATTCTAAAAATGCTTTTAATCTTCTTTATTAAATTTTTACAAATAAATTGATGATGGATATTTATTCTATTTGACATCTTATTCGTCCTCTTTCGATTTATGTAAAATATGAAATTTGGTGCTCAGTCATTTGGTTCAAGTCACCACCCAATCCAGCGTGCGTAGCCAGACTTTCAACAAAAATAAGCACCTTTTAAGTAGTTTTTAAGCACTCAAAAATTATTTTTAATCACTTTCCAAAAAAAAAAAAAAAAAATCATAATTAGGATCTTTGCAGTAATGAAAAAAAATTTTTTTTCCATCGTTTAAAGTTCTTAATTTATAAAAATTAAATCGATAAATTCAAAAACATTTTCAAAAACTTTAAATTATCTTGATAAAATAATTAGTTTCTGATAAATATAGCAGGGAAAATTGCAAAAACCATGCATTTTTTGTAATTTAGAACGACAATTGATACGGCAAAGAAGAAAATCTCTTTTCAAAAGATAAAAAATTAAGTACTTTTCACAAACCCCGAATAAAAAACGCACCTTTAAGTTCTTTTCAAATACGTATTCTGAAAATAAGCACCTTTAAGCACTTTTTAAAACGCCACGCACCCTTCCAATCACAATTTGAGATATAAACCGTGTGGTATTTTAGATTCTCTATTAACTTTTTCTGACAAAATTATGAGAATACGATTCTGCAATAGTATACAGTTGCCTGTTTCCAGATTTTCGATAAGTATCTTTGCTTTTATGCAATTAACGTCAAAAGAATTTTTTAGCGTCATCGAAATCCGTTTTCACCAGTGTTTAAACTGGTGAAAACGCTACCAGTGTTTCACCGGTGTTTAAACAGTAATAAAATTAGATTTTAAAAAATCTAAGAATTGAGAAACGTGTAGTTTTAAATTTTTTACTCAAAATCACAAAATTTTGTTGCTTTAAAGTGTCGGGGAAAAACTCATGAAAGCTCTAAACAATATCAAACGCTATTTCTCCTAATTCAATAAAGCGACCCCTTAATTTTATGCTTTTTTTAAGGGTATTGTGCTGTCAAATAATATTATAGCACCAAAAGTTTATTAAGTACAAAGAAAAATATCGAGAAAACACAAACTAAAAATTTTTCTTTAAATAAAAGATTGCAAGAGTAGATGCCTCTTAATTATGTGACTGCGTTACGCCGTTGATGCAATTGGAGGTTAATTTGAAAATGTTGTTTTGTAATTTTTCACAGTTTGTAGTGACATCTGTAATATTAATTAAATTTGGATAGTAAATTTGAATTTGATGACGTAATATTTTGACAGGCTTCTTTTCAAGAGTTATTAATTTTATGCGGGCTAAGTAAGTTCTTTACACTCCTATTTTTAATTCTATATTAAAATACTTTTAAAATAAATGCTCGCCCACTTAATTTTTTTTTTGTTTCATGCTAAGCAGTAAAATTCAACCATCATAAAAGTTCTTAAATTCAATTTAAATATTCACAATAAATTGAGTGTACATATAGTTTTTAAGTGCTTTCTCTTACTCCTCATGTTCTAGATCTTTCTTAGATATTTTTAAATATCAATATTACATTTTTTAAAAAAAAATTTTTTTTAGTGACTTATCGTTTTTCATATTTGATAATAATCCTTTAAATTAAGTGTATCTGAAATAAGTGTAACTTAATTAAATATGATAAATTTTTACAAAAAGCTTTACTTTCTTCACAAGTTTCTCCTGTAAAGCCAGGTGAGCAGATGCAATTCCCAGTTTTGCCATCACAAGAGGCCCCGTTTTGACAATGACATGTCTGAAGACAATCGTCCCCATGATATCCAGCTGCACATTCTAAAATATCAGTTAGGTTTCAGAATTAGCACGAAAATATCAGAACAAATAAAACATAGATCAATCTTCAATAAAGGTTAAATGCAGATATAGCCCAGTTGAAGAAAAAGAAGAAGTGCTGAAATCAGCTATATTGAGCCGATGAAACTGACTTTATATACTTTATATAAATTTTTTTTATATGACTTATAAAAAAACGGGAATTATAAACTCGCTCTGTTCCAAGAACATATAGTGGTCTTTTTTTAAGACAAAAGACCGCTTGTGTGCCACAGAATCATGCATTTTGTGCTTACACAACAAAGATAAGCTCCCCAGGGTGCTTATCAAGAACAAAAAATATGTTTTCCTGATAATTTTCTCAAGCCCATCAAGAAAAACTATGATTTTATAAAATCACCTGTTTTTCTTAATAATTGTGTAAACACAAAATGCATGATTCTGTGGTACCTGTGGATTCCGTGGTGTAGAGAATATATTCCTTCAATTTTCTTTCTCTCAAAGAATTTTTGATGGTAATTTTCTCTCACAAGAGGAAATCATATTATTTAGATCTGCAAAATGAATACAATAAATTTTTAAATGCTGATCGCAAAATTTTTTATAAAATGTTGAAGATGAATTGAATATTTATATCTAAGTTGAAGTGCTAAACGAAGTAGTGAATGAAATCCAGTGGTTCATATAGTGACCATGATTGCTTCTGATATCAGTACTAAGAGGAATATTTTAATCATTTACTTATTAGAAATCTTTTTGTAAAACATCACTTTAGCGTAGATGAATCTAAGAAGACACTAGAATTATTAATAGCCGTATAAATTAAATTGAAACTTATCTCCAGAACTTCAAATCATCATTCGGAATATAGCCGCCTCATTAAAGAACTTTCAATAAAACTGAGTTATCTATACCTACTTTACGTTTTACTTATTTTTTTTAATGATAAACATCACCTTAAATTAAAATTTTCTTTTCAAGCCTAGATTTCATAATGTTTTGTCATTTTTCAAAACATTTTTAACGCTTTCATTTCCTTTGTTTATTTTCAAAACATTTGTGATCTTTTCATTTTTTGTGAAAGAAAAGAAAGCGATATAATAACTTTACATTTTCAGTAATGATAAAGTGCGATGATGAAAACAAGAACGCAAACTAAAATTCTAAACTTACTATCTTCACATAATGAACCTGTGAAGCCAGGCTTACAAATGCATTCTCCATTTACGGGATCACAATCGGCTTCATTTTTGCAAGAACAGTGCTCTTTGCAATCCGTTCCAAATGTTCCATCAGGACACACTAAAAAGTTCATGCATTCAAATAAGCATGTCAATTAAGAGTAAAGTATGTTGCATTTTTGATAGCAATGACAAGGCCATATACCTAGTAATATTATAACACAAATATAATGCATAGTGTGACAATGTCTAAGCGTTATCTAACAAAAAATAAGGATAATATGCAATAACACCTAAGAAAGAAGAAAGAAATAAAAAAGAAGTTATATACCATAGAAACTCTATTTAAATTTTAAGCGCATCTTACTAAACTGTATGTTTCAAACTTGATAAAGGTGTTATTTTTATGAAAGATTTCAATAAGTGTAAAGTTTTAAATGATGCTTTGCAATATCAAAATACAAGGATTTTTTTTAAATATTATTTTTAGTTTTAAGTTACGAATTTTGTGCAAAATTTTTATTCCAAATCCTCATTATTTTTTTTCGAACTAGAATTATCTTTCATAAAAATGTGATATTTCAAAGCTACAATTCATATTTTAGTGAGTTGTCAAGCATAGATGTGAATTTTTGATTTTTCTTTGGTTCGTTTTTATCGCCAATTAATCGAGAATCCTTTTGTCTGTTACATGTTTATTTCGAAAAAGTGCTTGTATTTATTATTATTATTTTTTGTTGTCAATTAGGAAAAAAAAAATCTTTACAATACATTAAGTAGAAGCAAAAGGTGATTTACCGTAAGAAACCGTGTTTCACGCTATTTTCGGGAGGTTTCTATAACCTGCATTTTACAGCATGACTGCTACATTTTCTTTTTATTGCATATCCATTTCGAACAAATTTTAAAAATGCATTAAACTGTTTGAAGGTTCTAGACAGTTTTCTCGAACTTTGTTAATTCAGCAAAATATTAATGGGTTCTAAAATTTAAGTTTTGTCGAAACTTAAGCCATTTAAAAATATTAAAAACTAAGAATGAAACAAACTGAACAAACTTTTGTCACACTTAGGCCCTTGGAATCCAGGTTTGCAAGTGCACTGGCCATCAACGGGATTACAATGATGATTTGGAGAACAAGTGCAGGTCTTTTTACAATGTTCACCGTAACTTCCCTCTGGGCAAGCTGAATTAAAAAATACACGTTTCGTGTTATTAAAACGAATTAAGTACTAAATACATTTTACTCAATTGTTGCGTTTTTAATTTTTGTTATTCAAGCACTATCAGGACCCCACCCTGAATATTTCAAAAATTCGAAAAATTTTTTATTGCAATTTTCGAATCTTTGTACCCGTCCTAATGTCTGTCTAAAACGAATTCTCGGTAGCTAACTTCGTTTGGAAGTTATACCGGAAAATAGAGCGCCATCGCTAAGCAGGTAGAAAGGCCCGTTCGGCCGGATTAGGAGGGGTGACATTCTTTTTGTGTCTCATCATCCATTCTGTTGACTGTATATAGAAACTTATTGTAGGCATTTCATTTATCGACCATTATATATATGAAATTAAACGTTTTCCCCTACCATAAGTCAAAACTTTAAACGCGTTTTTCTCAAAACGCTGTTTTTTGACCTGACCTAATGTTTTTCTCATGATCTATACAAGGAAATAAGCTGTTCTTTATTTTAAATTACGTAAAAATATATTCTTTAGAAAGTAGCATAGGATTTTTCCGATATTTTAATATTAGTATTTTAATGAATATTTTTTAATGAAAAACTTAACTTTTTTTTTAAGTTTGCCGCCATTTTGATAATTTTGCGAATATCAAAAAACCGCTATGCTACTTTTAAGATAATGTCTTTATGTTTTAGAAAATCTAAACAAAATCGTTTTCCTATGTTTCAGGACTTCTAAACTTATGAGGCCAGTGAGGTGCTACTTTTTGATAACCAGCCACACATGGAGCTGCCACCAACTTATTTTTTATTATTTTGTGAAAGAAAATTTTTTAAAATAGACTTAAATTGTAGCTAAACAACATTAAAAAAAACAAGGAGTCTCTGCATTGTCTCTATTACTTAAAACAATTCAAGAAAAGCGTTAATATTTTACCATCTCAGGGTGGGGTCCCCCCTTAAAGGAAGTAAAGCACTTAAGGGAAGCACTGAGGAGCACTTAAAGGAAGTAAAGTGTAGATTGATGGAGATTTGATGTTCATTGTAGATGCTGTAAGTTTTATAGTTCAAACATTGTCCTTTAATCATGTTATATTTAAGTAAGCAAAGTAGTGGATAATTTTAATGTGTGCGTACTTGCTTCATGCAGCAAATAATAATAGAATTTTGTCAACCACCACAAGGATTAAGTTTCAACGACAATGTGGCTGAGAATTTGCGGCGCTTCAAAAAGCGACGATACATTTGAAAGCATCATGATAAGAAAGAGTCAGATGCAAAAGCAGCACTATTTTTAAATGAAGCTGAAGAAGATTCAGTACGTACAAGTATTTAATACTCTGAACACTACTGAAGAACAGAAAAATGATTATGATGCAGTGATAAAGAATATTGAATTTACACAGCGCCAAAAAAAAAAATACTGTTGTTGAAAGTTTTATTTTCTTTGGGTTTATACAATGCCAAAGAAAAATACTGTTGTTGAACGTTTTATTTTGAATTAGCAAAATCAAGATAAAGGGGAATCATTTGATTCGTTTGTAATTGACCTAGAAAAGTAACCAGATCCAGACAGAGTAAAATACCAGATCATATCAGATCCAGACAGAGTAAAAGTTATCATAGATCTAAAACAGTCGAAAAACAAACATGAGTTACAAAGAATATTAGGAATGCTTAACTATTTGAGGAGATTTGTGCAAGTTTGTCTTGTATTACAACATCATAAGAGAGCTCTTAAAGCAAAACGTTGACTTTCAATAGGTTCCTTTAAATTCAATTTATTGGTTGAAAAATGAATTGAAAAACTTAATTTCTAGAACCTCGAGGGTTATTGCATTGCAAAAAACTCATTACTCTACAAGCTAAAGTTTTAAGGATGGATTGGGTTATCGTTTGTTTCAAAATGGGCAGCCAATTGTCTTTACACCTTGTAGCTTAACAGATGCAGAAAAGGATTATACACCAATTGAAAAATAATTTTTGGGAATGGTATTTGTCGCAAATAAATTTATTATCACATTTATGATAACAAATTTGAGGAAATAACTGTGACTATAAACCATATAATATAAACTATAAGCCATTGATCCGAATTGGTTTCTACAAATAAAAATATTGATAATGTCTTATCTAACAGGTCAGAAAAAATTAAAATAAAACTTCTTAAATATCAACTGAATTTAAATGCTAAAATCTTATATGATTTTTAAATTTTGTTTTCAAATTTTAAAAAGATGAATTTTGCTATTAATTAAATTTTTTTCGCAAATTTTGCTTAATTTCATTGAATATTCTTTAAGTTAGAAAGAAAAAAACGTAAGACAAAAAAAAAAAAGTTTTTTTTTTAATTATATAAATCCTTTATCTCCATAAATATTTAAATTAGGTAATTATTGCAAATTTTATTTAATTATTACACAAAATCACCGAAGTAATCAAGACAAGCTACGAGTTTATTGCGATATTTTCTGACATATTGTGTACTTTTGTATGCTTTTTCTCTTTTCGCCTTTTTCGTTCGTAATTTTTTGCCAGTCCCCTCAAACTTCCGAAAACTTTAAATTTTATTGATAAATATGAGAAATAGTATGACCTATGCGCCTCTAAATTTTTAAAATATTCTTCTAAGTATTTCTTGATGTCAAAAATTGAAATGTTCTCTTCAATTATTATAGGTTAAAGTATTTCATAGTTATATTTTTATTTTAAATTACTTTTTTTTGGTACATTCTATTCTGTGTCTTATTATTTGTTTAAATGATATATCTCTATTATTTTATAATTCTGATACCAATACTCACTCTGTTCGCAACCTTTTCCTGTAGTTCCTGGATCACATGAACATTTTCCTGTAATGTGATGACAAGGTTCATCTTTCCCACATAAGCACATATGAGAACAGTGCGCACCGAAATGACCATGAGGACACACTAAAAGAAATTCATAATTTATAAAATTTTAATTTATATAATTATAATTTATCATATATATCATATTCATAATCATGTTATACACATGCATGTTAATTTCGTAATATGATAGGAATCCTAAATTTTACTTGCCAATTGATTTAAATTTATTTTTTATACAAAGAGACTTTGAGGCTAAGAACTGAGAAGTCAGTTTCTTTGTTAATTTCTCTTTAATTATGAAAATAAAACTTTTAATTGTATAAATAAAAATATTTTTATTTAAGATTTTTTTTTCTTCTTGTTATTAGTTTCAACCTTTAAATATAAACAGTAAGGAAAAAGTTGTTACTAATGTCACTTGCCAATACTAGCAAGTTTGCTAAGGGAAGGCAGAGTTTGTTTTTCAGCGTCACCATCTATGGCCATGAATAAGACGTCAGTCACACATACGTCACATCCCACTTTACAGGAAGGACCATCCTCCATTCATTTACCCACAGATCGAAATTCTGACTTGAACCAGAGAATGATCAATTTCCAATTCAGTATCCCCCCAGACGTATTGATTTGTTATGGGTATTTGGAGGAATTCGTGGCCCCGACAGATTTAACGTGCATCAGTCTACATTTAATACACGGGGTCTCTTCGACCCGTGGATTCGAATTCAGGAACATAAGCCGAGTGTCCTATCAGCCAGGCATAAAGGAAAAGTAAATACTTATTGAAATAAATGTTTCACTTTAATCTAAACGAGATCATAATACTTTTCTCATTCATCACAATGCTTATACTTTTACTCTAAATACGAGGGGAGCCCGAAAATATGTTCCATGGCGACTGTGGTCAATTAATTTTCCCACAAAATTACAAAGTACATCGAGACACATTTGTCGTACCATTTTATAAGCCTCAAAAAGCCCCCCCCCCAGGAAAAATCTAGGCTTAGCATACCGAATAAATGAACAGCTTTGTACGACTTTATTGCGTTTAAGGCGTCTTTCTCCGAAATTTATCCTCAAAACCGAAAACAAGTGGAAGTCACTGTGGGCGAGATTGGGACTGTACGGAGGATGGTCAAGGCACTCTCAACCAAATGTTGTTATATAGTTTGGCGTCGTGATCGCCGAGTAATCGAGTTGTGATCGCATTGCCATCCAACAACAGAACATCAAATGTGAGATTTTCCCCCCGAATAACCTCCTTCAATTTCGACAGTGTGTAACAATACCACGAAGCATCGATGGTCCCAACTTCCAAATAGTTCAGCAACGAGAGCTCCGAGATCAGACTGATAAGCTTGTTTCCGCTTTGCGTATACGTTGCGACAGCGCCATCTGTTCTATCAAATAGTGCCAAATGGGTATCTTTTATGCTCGATTGCTGTTCGATTTCCTGTAGAAAACTAGAGAGGAAACTTATTTTTTGACCTCCCTCAAATTAAAATTTATTTGAAACAGCATTTGAAAAGAAATTATAGTCTGTTAACTATAACTATTTTGTTATAAATCGTGTGAACTTTATTTTTACCTTTTTCACAGTGTTGACCTTTATAACCTGGTTTACATTTGCATCGTCCATCTTTTGGATCACATAATCCATCGTTTTGACAAAGACAAACGCCTTCACAAGCATAACCATAAGTACCATTGGGGCAAACTGTAATTTCATTAAAAAAAAGAAAGATTCATTATGTTTTAAACAAATATTACTGTGCAATCAGAAGTGTCAAATACAGAAATTTTTAAAAAATGAAATGATTAATATGATAATAATTTTAAAAAAATTACTTTTTAGACAAAGACTTTAAAAGAAATTAAATAGTTTTCTTGTGTTCATGCTACATAAATTATAAACTGTTTTTTTAAAAGAAATCAAAACTTAAAAACAAAATTTAAGAACAAATAATATATACGAGGTGTTTTGTAATTATCACTTTTAATATATACTTTAAAAACATTGCCAAAACTGAAGCAACAATTATATGCACAGTAAGAGTCAATAAGGAATATTTGAAAACACGGAAACATTATTATCCAACAAATCACTTTTGATGAAGTTCGAGATAAATATAAAAACTTGTTTGATTACCAGAGTAAGCTGAAACATGGTAAAAGGAAATTGCAAGAAATGCCTTTAAGTTTCAATTGGTAATTAAACTGGTTTCGATGTTTTCCAACCCTCTTTCCTCAAGGATTTGCCATGCTGGGATGGCTAAGTGAATAGAGCTCTTACTTCTTAAAGAAGTAACCCTACTTACTTCGTAAAGCGTTCATAAAGGAACACCCTGTATATTTCCCGAACAGGTGCTGCGTAGAGAGTACTTCTAAATTATATTGCAATATTAATAAATTAATCTTCTTCTTCGAAATACTGAAGTGGTGATAATAAGCATTCAAATATACCAAAACTGGCAGAAAAAAGGAAATTTTACAGAACCAGTGAAGTTAGTATTCAAAAATAAATGCTTTAGTAGCCCCCAAGGTGAAAAGAAGTAGTCTAAATCAGTGTTTCTAAACCTTTTTGTCGCCGCGGACCGTTTATTGTCTACATTTTATAATTTTACCGCTGTCTGCTGGGGAAAGGCGTTGAATGCTTATATTTCAAACCGTTTTGATTTAATAGTTTTAATTTAATTGTTAATTAAATATGCCTTCAAAATGAAAGACAGTTACATGCGTTGGTGAGGCTTAAAGTCTCAGAGCTCCCGGTAGTCTTCTCGTTCGTTGAAAATCGCACAAACCAGAGAGAAATACACCACAGTAAATAAAATGGAAATAATTTAATGTTTCTCGAGCTGCCCTGTACCGCTCTACGGACTGATCTACGGACCGCTGGTCTAAATAGTTGACCCCAGAAATAAATAATAGTATCTTAAATAGTATCTTCAGAAATAAATAACAGTGTCCTAAATTCTCTGTAGGGGTTTCCTCCGCTTTCAACAAAATATTTCATTAAGCGGTGGAGAATTAAATTCTAAAATTTGGAGAATTTTCGGTAATCATGCCAAAGCTTAAAAGGCTTACCACAAGGTTGGTGAATGTAAGTGGCGTCGTACTGTGAACTTTTGAATCATTTATATGTATTCGTAAGAAAAAAAACTTTGAAACCATTAAAAACTTTAAAAGCATTTACAGAGTATTTTTCGAATTCCAGAGATTTTAATACAATGTAATCAAGGATATGCAAAGTTTTAATCTATAATTTTTTGATGAGCTTGATTCGCGGTGATTCGTTATTTTACAATAATTTATACGGCCATTTTCGCACTAGGTCAACATTTCCTATTTGAGTAAACACTTCTTGATGCACCGATTCCATCATAAATTCACTTCTTTTTTTAAACGTTTTTTCGACTGATCTCTCTATTTTTTTCGGCCACATCTACGTTATTTTTAAATACGACGTTATTTTAATTCGCTACTATTACAACACGCGAATTTTTAAGTTCATCCCTTTTAGATCTGATAGAATCGTGGCTGCTCAATCGTAAATCCACGTCTTCCGATCGTTTTTATCTACTTTCTTTGACTATTTCCAATTGTTTTTTTTTACATGCTAATACTTTTAATAGAGCACACAATTTTGTATGTGAGCAATCCTTTTTTCAATCAGTTTGCGATAATACCATCGCAGTCCGTTCATTTTTTGGTTATTTCCATATGGTTGGTTTTTCAAATATTCTGATTTTTTAATTAGAATGGATAACTAAATTTTGATCATAACTCGTTTATTTGGCAATAATAAATATTTCAAAAAGTCGCCAGATTTGTAAAAATTAAAAAATAGTTGTTTCTCAGCTTTTGTTTTTGGAAAAATAATAACCACCGTATTAATATCAGATAGTTGCTGATAGGACCGTTAAGAAGTTCATATTTATGATGATTAACTTTTTTCAATTCTTTATTTAGTTTTATTGTAATTCATAAACTTTTGTTTAAACATTGTTAAACTTCATTTAAATTTATGGAATAAGGGTTGTAAGTTAATATTTAAGCGAGGAAAAAGTAAAAACCAAATGAATTACTGAAGAAACATTATTGAGGAAGTAGGGTTTAAAAGCATGAAAACCACTTTGAATACCAAGGGAGATTTTAAGCGATTAAATTTAAATTACCTTAAAAATTTCTCCAGCACCTAAACAAGGTTTTAAACTTTTGATCCTAATGTTCACAATAATAATTCTTAGATTTTGATGTAGTCATGTTTCCCTGATTTAAATATCAGTTTTTTACGATTCTTAATATGTGTATTATATATCAATTTTCCTGTTTGACAAGGGCTGTAATTACCGAATACACTGTATATTTTGTACATGATAATTAGTTAAAAATGGTAATTTTTAATTATCAACGGGCTATTAGATAGTAAAATTAACCAACCAGACAAGCAAGAAAATAACTATCGCAGTTTAAAATCGAGGGTGTTCTATTTATTGAAAACATCGTATGAGATAGCACTTATTAAATGAAATTATTATTCTACATAAAAACTATAAAACAATATGTCGAATTAACTCAAAAATTGGGTTAACAGTAAATATTGTGAAACGTGATTTATGATGTTAGATACTCAAAAATCACTCATGCAGCATAAATTGTTAAATTAATAGTTTTTAAATATTGCAGCATTAAGAAACTTCAAAACAAGAAAAATGTAACATTTAATGGGTTTAGAAAAGGGTATGTTCCGTTAGTACATTCAGCGGAAAGATAGACTAGATGTAAATAAAAAAAAATGCATCACTTGGCGACTTTAATCGCACGTTTGTCGTGGCGCTAAACAGGCGGTGAATATTTGTTACCTTTTTTTATTGTTATTTGTTCCTTAATGCAGACTAAAGTATATTTAAAAGCGATTCGTCAAGCTCAATCAGTTATTAAGATAAGTACATTATCTTACATTGTTATGCTTTAATTTGTTTTAAAATTAAAAATCAATTATTTACATTTATAAAAAAATTGGTTATCGTTTAGATAAAAATTTGCTAATAATATTTTTATTACACCTTTAACATGTTGCTGTATAAGTTAATGGATAATGCTAACATATATAGCTGAATTTTAATCTATCATTTTATTTACTTTTTTGCAGCTTTATTAGCAAGCATAACAACATAAAATTAATCAGTTTGCAAGTAAGTGGTTTATAATCGCTTAGTACTTAGAAATAGAAATTCGAAGTTTAATTGTATTTAGTTTATTAAAAAATATGATTTTATTGTATTCTGAATCAACCATGCATTCAATTATGAATCAACCATTGTGCGTTATCACAAGCAGAATAACTCCACTGCAATTCAATCTGTAAAACTTAAAAAATCAGAGAAAATTCCCAAAAGTGGCAAACCTGATCAAGATTCTGACAACCTATTAGTTTACTTTCGGTCTATATTTTCCTTGAACGCGCCCTTATATAGCTCTCCAATTCCATTATGTAGTACTCTAATAATCTGAAGTTAAACATGGAAAAGTTTTCGTAGGGTTAAAGACGGAATAAGTCGGTTAATTGCTGGTTGTTGAAAGTTGATGTTAAACATTATTGGAAAAACATTTTGTAAATGTAGTTTGCAACCAGTAAAAAATAAATAAATAAATAAAATAAAATAAATGTAACTACAGAAATCAATTTCAGCTATTTGACCTCAATAAAATATTTAAATTGCGGTCTCAACTAAAAAGAATTTATTAAAGAACGAAATCGCTCAATTCAATAATTTCATGCTTCATTCAGTGTCAAGACGCAAATTTTTCATGCGTTTTAGTAGCGAATCATTCAGTTAAATTAAAAGGGAAACTGACGGGTTATTTTACTATTTGGGTGTTAATACTATAGCTCTCAGCAGCTAAACACTAACGTCACTCTTAATCGAATCATCACTCACCCAAATTACATGTTTCACCACGCCACCCTGGAAAACAATGGCATGTGCCATTGTTTGGGTCGCAGATTGCACCATTTTTGCATAAGCATTGATCTTCACAGTTTTTTCCAAAGAAACCTGCTGAGCAAGCTAAGAAGCAAAAAATTTTAAAAGATAGCAAAGAGGTACGATTGCAGAATTTTTTTTTAAAATTAAGCTTGAGAAATTCAATGGAAAATATCTGATTTAATGAGTAAAATGCCTGCTGTAAAAAATATTTTTTTCAATGAAATCTGTGAATATTAAGTATTATGTACATATTTTTTTTACATTCATGAAATTTTATTGCATCTTATAAGTTATGAATTTATTTGTATAAAAATTTGTTTTGTTTACGTTTTTCAATGACACAAGGGTAGAGTTAATTCTTTGTAGTATCAGTATTTTACTCCAGAGAGGAAAAAAAAACATCATTCACGAAAATAAAATGTTGAATAATTAAATACGGAGTTCAATGACTGAGAAAGCAGAAGGACTGTACTGCGGGGAAAAAAAGTGTTATTACAAATTCTAAGAAATTAAAAGGTGTTATAAATGTAGTCGGAAACGAAACACTAAGGGTGCGAGGGTCGCGTATACAGGTTAATGCCCAAAGAACGTTTTAAAACAGCGTTTGTAGGTTTAGTTCACATTGAATAAATTGAGTTTCCATTTAGAATTATTTGAAGTATATAAAACAGCACGATATCGTACATGAGTACCAATCACATGATAGTATGGCTAACAGCACGAAACATATTGCAACACATGACAATTATTATTAAAAATTATTTAAAGAAAACTAAAATAATTAAATAAAAAATGTTTTTTTTTCTGAATCATTATTCAAATGGGGAAAAAAGCATAATTTCTTTAAGGGGTAGCAGAATACCGGGAAGTCAAATTACACTGGTGTGCAAAAATTTAGGACGAAATAGAAGAACTAGCTTAACAACAAAGTAGGCAGTTACAACGGAAGGAAAGGCCATTGAGAAGACCAATCACGGTAAGGTATGTAGAAAATTTGCATATATGTACCATGACGTACCGGGAGGCGCGTAGTTAGGGAATAAAACGAGCTAGCGGTGGAAGCTCAGTATTTATGTGAATGGTATACAACAATTTAAACGAAGTGAATTTGTTGTTAGGTGCGATATGGATCAGCACAGACAACACAGAAGACGACATCTGGATGAGTTTAGGCGATGCCGAATCATTGGGAAGCTTGAAGAAGGTCGAAGTGTGGCTGCGGAGTTCGGGATCGCCAGCAGCATCATTTCAGGAGCTTCAAACACATTATAGCTGTCCGGAGGTTTAGTAGAGGTCGTCTTCGCACAACTACTGCAGTAGACGACCGGTATATAGTCCTAAAGCTAGAAGGAACAGGCGGCTGACAGCAGGAAAAATAGCTAGGCACACACAGGAAAGTACTGGACTCCGATATCGTGTTTTATCGTGGCCAGGAGACTGATCAAGGGTGGTCTATTTGCACGATGTCCAGTATAGTTTGTTCCATTAACGCCTCTTCACCAGATACGCCGTTTAATGTGGTACCGGGAACACAGCAACGAGACAGATGCGCAATGGGGTAAAGTACTCTTTACGGATGAGAGCAGATTTAGTCTGACCAGTTCTGAACGCATACACATCTGGAAAGAGCGAGGAATACGCAATAACCCCTCTAACAACATCGAAAGAGACCGATTTGGAGGAGGCGGAGTTGTTGTATGGGGCGGTTTCATTCTTGGTACCCGTACTAATCTACACATCTTCCAAGGTGGTTCAGACACTGGTGCCAGCTATTGTACCGAGGTTCTTCTTCCTCATATGTGTCTTTTAGATGTGCTGTTGGCTCTGAGTTTATCTTCATGAACGATAATGCTGCACATCATCGTATAGTGGCTGTCACAGAAGTGTCGGAGAGTTAAGATATTGCACGCATGGAAAGGTCGGTGAAGTCCCCGGATTTTAATCTGATTGAACACGTGTGGGTGACTCTAGGGAGACGCTTAGCAGCACGTCTCCAGACACCAGCAACAATTCCGCAGGTGCAGCTGCGATTAGCACTGCAACAGAAATGGCCGGCAATTCCTCAAGAGCTTCTTAACAACCTGATCTCCAGCATGGGCAGACGATGCCAATCCTGCATAGCAGTCAGAGGTGATCATATCCCATAGTAAATTCTGGAATTTCCTTGCCAATTTTGCGTAACATTGACGTTTTGGTCATTACAATTGCGCTTTATGCCTACATTTCAAAAAATCCTTACTGTTTATATAGATGAAATTTTTTTGCAAGTTGTTTACTTTCCCATATTCTTACGTTTTGAGGATCCTGTGGTATCGATTTTCAAAACTGTTGTTCAAACTTACTTTTGAAAAACCACTTCGTCCTGAATGTTTGCACACCAGCCAGCGTATGTAATTTTTAAGGAATATTTTCTAAATATTTAAAAAACATATAAGTTTGGAATATTTTTTCTAGCAAAAATCTTTAGATTAATAATTTTTTAAGAAGCTAATTTAAATGTGTTTCATAAAAAGATTTGTGCAAAAATAAAGTAAAAAGTCCTCATAATTTCATCGACGAAAATTTTGCTGAATAATTTCTGACAGAAGATTTGTTCAGTATTGCAAAAATAATTAAATTAATACATTTACTAAATTTTAGATTTATTGAACAGTAGTTTCAGATAAAATGATCCAGTTATGCTTATTTTTACAGTTATGATGAAACGTTGTGAAAATGGAGAAGTAAAGAGTGGCACTATGAGTTTTTAGAAGAAGCAAAAAAAATGAGCTTAACTAAGGAAAAAAAACAGCTTTAGAATTGTTAGACTATAAATTCAGTATGAAGTAAATGGTGGCAAGTGTAATTTCTGATCGAAATGCTAGAATAAGCTGAAATTAGATTCGAACCCAAGGTTTAAAGAGAATAAAAACACCAATTACTCTTAAATATTTTAATAATAGTTTCTTCTGTTGCTTTTAAGATACTTACTTTTTGAACATTTTGGCCCCTGAGTTCCTGGTGGACATTGGCATTCTCCAGTTTCCGGATGACATGAAATTCCATGGCCACAATTGCAATTTTTATTACATTCAATACCATGAAAGCCACGAGGACATGGAGTTTGACAAAACGTTCCTCTCCAACCTGGTCCACAAGTACAAGCACCGCTGATGTGATCGCAAGTAGCTCCATTTTCACACTGACATTGCTGTTGGCATTTGTCACCATATTTACCTTCATGACAAGCTGATAAAATAAACCAAAATGAACAAGATTATAAAAGCACATATTTATTACTCTGGGAAACAAAATATTTGTTACATTTACATAAATACTTAATCTTTCCTATGTCGGGTGCTTGGATTTCATATTTAAAATTAGTTTTGCTCATAAAGCTACAGATTTAAAAAAAAAAAAATTATATTTTCAGCTTATTATTTGGTGAGATGCACAAGTTTAAAAACGTTATATAACAGAGGGTAGCCTAAATGTTGCGACAAACTTTTAGGAGAGTTAGGGCACATCATCAGGATTAAAATTGCATAGAAACCATGCTTGGCCTAAGCGGCTTATCCCCTGTTTAGAATGATCTGTTCCCTATTATGTTCAGAAGGACAAGAAGAAACAGTTTCTTATAGAGAAGTGCTCTTAGCGGCTTAGGATGACATTTCTGGGAGCATGGATTCCTAGGCAGTTTTAATTCGGATGATGTGCCTTCACTTTCCTAGAAGTTTATCGCAACATTTATACTGTCCCCTGTTACATGTAACGTTATTAAACATGTACACTTCAACGAAAGTAGACTAAAAATGCCATTTTTTTAAAAAAAATAATGTAGCTTGAAGAGAGAAACAGATTGCAGATTTGAAATTAGTGATACGAAAATATCTAAGATTTATTAAAAAGCCTCATGCAACAGAAAAAAAATGTTCCCTAGTATTATCAACAATGTTAGTTTAAACAATATTAGTAATGGTGAACAAAACTGTATTAAATTGTTATTACATTCTGATTTTTTTCAGTAACGAGACAGTACAAATTTTAGTAAAATGCATCAATGAATATGTGTTGCTACTTTTCACTAATTTCAACCTTTGTTATTTATTTTACAGATATGAATGATATATAAGCATGACATATTTAATATAGCTTACTTATATACATATGGATGATATATTTAATATAGCTTACTTTGCCCGCATTCAGTTCCTCTCCATCCAGGTGCGCAAATACATTCCCCAGAATATCTATCACATTCTCCACCATGTAAACATTCACAATGTTTTTGGCAATTTGGACCATAACTTCCAGGACTACAAGCTAGGAGAAAAATACATTTTTAAATAAAGTATTACAGCTTTGTTAGTTAAATTTATGATTCCGCTACAAATTAAAGTGTAAAATTTACTATAAGGGCAGTTAAAATATTACACCAGCATGGTTTAGGCAATTTTGGCAACAAAAGTAAGCAAATCACAAATCCCTTTTCCATGCTTTTATAAGAAAACCGTATCCCCTTCCCTTAGTTTTAGCTTTAACTTTGACTTGTAATGTAGTTATGTAATTTAAGGAATAAATTCAAATAAAAGATGCAAGTTTGTTTAAATTTATCTCTTAATTCATTTCATAAAATTTTGAGTAGAGTATTCAAAAGAAATCTTTTGTGTTTTCTTTCTGTGGTCAAAACTTTTGACTTCAGAAACTTATCAAATAATTTTTTTCTCGACCTTTCTCTCCTGGATTTCAAGTTTTATTTCAAATAGGAAATTTTTTCAAGGTTCATTTTCTGATGCATTCTTTTTAGTTTAAGAAAATTTTTAAAATAAGAGAACTTTAGTGTCGTATTGCTCACACCTTTCTACCTTCTTATCAGCAAAAATTAGCAAATCATAAAATCCTCCTTCTCATTTGGCGCTTACTTAGTACATATTTGAATGGCTTTTAAATGTTTAAATTTTTCTATCAAAGTAGCTCAGTTTCCTGTTAAATAAAAAATGTTAAGAAAAAGGATGGATGGAAAACTTTTCTTTCTTCCATTTCGTTTATAAAATGAAAATGAAATGATGAAGCAAAATAGCTTAGTTTCTTATTAAGTAAACGAAGTTAAGAAAAAGGTTGGATGTAAGACTTTTTCTTTTCCATTTTATCTGTAGACTAAAGATAATAGAGATAACTTTTCTTGAAAAAGTACGTGGTAGAAATATCGAATATACATGGAAGAAATATATATTTATAGAATAATGTCGATGGTTGGAAAAAGGATGAAACCTACCAAGAATATGATAAATGGAATATGATTAAAATAAGAGATTTTTGATGTTTTAAGTAAGCATTGTTCATACCCATCCACCCTCTAGTAAACAGAAATTAGTAAATCACGAAATCCCCCTCCCTTCAACAGGCTCTTATGTAATATTTTAACCGCTTCTAAGTGTTTAAATATTTTAAGCGAAGTAGCTTAATTTCCTATTAAAATAAAGATGATAGAGATGACTTTTCTCACATAAGTACGTGGTAGAAATATCAACCATTTTTTTATCGCTATTATAATAATGTCGATTGTTGGAAAAAGGATAAAACCTACCAAGAATATGATTAATAGAATATAATACTGCGGAATATGATTTTATTTTAAAGGCCACACAAATTTATCAAAATATTATTTTGGTCAATGGTTGCACAATCGATATTAGGTTTTGGAGATAGGTTTTGGAGATAGGTTTTGGTTTGCACAATAGATATTTGGTTTTGGTTTGCACAATAGATATTTCTAAGGAAGGAAACTTCTTCCGAATTAGGCTCGTTGCACTTCTATAAAGGAAATATCTGAGAGTATTTGACAGTGTGTATAAACATAGCAATTAAAAATGGGTTAATGAGCAGAATAGGTTCACGATATAGTTTTTTATTTTAATTACTAAATCTTACATTTATAAAAGCCTTTTATAATCTTATCATATTTATCTAGTAAGTTTTAAGCAATTTTTTATTTGAGGTTGAATAAATAAATCAATATATAGTAAATCAATCATCTTAAGCATGAACTTACCTTGATTACATTTTGTTCCCGTCCAACCAGCAGCACAATGACATCTCCCATTTGCTTTATCACAAGTCGCCCCATTTTCGCAATGGCACTGATTTTCACAATTTGCACCGTACTTGTCAGGTGGACATTCTGTTTAGGTTAAAAACAAATTATAAGAATATGCAAATCTATAAAAATTATATTCAGTTCTAATGGTTATGAAATTATATAATTAAATTACAAGCGTAGCAAAACTTTCAGGTATGAGAGAACAAATGATTTCTTGACCTAAAATATACCAAGTTGTTTGAAAAATGTCTTACTTTTTTCACATGATTTGCCAACAAAACCTGTTGGACATGTACATTTCCCACTTTTTGGATGACATACTCCGCTGTTTTCACAAGTGCAGTTTTTTAGACAGCTTTTTCCAAATTTTCCCTTCGGACAATCTAAATACAGAGTACTAAGAATTACTAACCGAAAATATCGTAAAAACTCATGCTATATTAATTGAGATATTACAATACTACTAGAAATTGTTATAAAGAATAATTTTAATAATAAATAAACCTACTTTGGTTGCAAAGAGCACCCATTTTTCCAGCTTCGCATAAACATGTTCCAGTGACAGAATCACATTCTCGCAAGCCACAAAGACAAATTTTGAGGCAATTTGTGCCATAGTATCCTTCGGGGCAAGCTGGAAATATTTAAAAAAAAGTTGAGTTTAGTGAAAAGTGAGTTGCAATTTCTGAAATTTATATGTAAACTAAATAATACACAAGTACAGGACAGAGACTGCTGACGAATCAGATACAACTTTGAATTATATAGACTCTATGGACAGTCACAGATAGTGCAGGTCATCCGAAGCAATAGATTAAGATGGCTTGGCCATATCTGGAGAGGTCCAGAAAACAATGCAGTACGAATATCCACCTTTAAAAATCCTTCTGGATCTCGGACCAGAGGAAGACCTCCAACTAGATGGCTCGATGACACTACTAAAGATCTCAAAGTAATAAAGATTAACAACTGGAAAAAAGTCGCCATGGATAGGAGACGTTGGAGGCTACGCGTGGTTGAGGCAGCCAAGGCCTGTAAGGGGCTGTAGTGCTGAAGAAGAAGAAATAATACACAATGTATGTAACAGTAAAGTATAAATAACTTGGGACAGTAAGGTGAAAATGTTGGGCTTTAAAGCACATAATGGTAAATCTTATTTTTAAGTGCTCAGGAGACCGTTTTTGGTAAGCCAAAAAAAGAAACAGGTTTTTATATAGGCAATTAGATTGTTTGAGATATTGTGCTGCCATCTAGTGGAAATTTAGGAAACTTTTAAAATACCTATCTGGAAGCAATCCTAATGAACAACTTGATGTAAAAATGCTACTCTTGAAAAAAGTGAGACTTATATACACAATATTGCCCCAAGCCTTTTAATAATAAAAAATAGTTGGAATATAAATTTAATTTTTTTTCTAATTTCTGAAAATTCCTATATTTCTATTAAAATTGGAAGGTATAATCAAAAGTTGTTACCTACTGATACGTTTTATTAGGTCGACAATAAGTTTATTATAGTACGTATAACGCATTACTTAGATAATTTTCTAAGCTATCAAAGACCTTAATAAATAAGGTAAAAATAAGGTCCAAAAAAGATCAAAACGAAATCTTAATGGATGATAAAAATCAATATTCGAGAAAGTACTTAATATTTAAATAAAGAAGGAAAAAATGAAAATTTGTTTAAGATGCATGACATTTAAAGCTTTTTTTTTTTAAATCAAAAAACCCATTATTAAAACATTATTTTGGTTGCATTGTTTACGTAATTTAAGGAGATGCAAGTGTGTAAATTCTTAGTGTTTTACAAATAAAAAAATTCTGGTTAAATTCCGTTCTGTATGGTAATGGCATTTCTGGTAAAAGGAACCCTAATTCTAGTTAATAAAACCAAAACATATACGGTATTTAAACCATTTGGTAATTTTTCCGTTCATATGGTGACGATTTTCCGGAAATTCTGGTTTTCAAGATTATAGTTCTTTTTACCCCATATTTAATAAAAATTAATGAAACTGAAAAATAAATTTAACCGCATAAATGGTATTTATGCCATTCTGTAAGGTATCATAATATTTCCAAATTTTACAACATTTTCCAAATTTCATCACATATTCTAAAGACATATTTTATTGTTAGTCATGATCAAAGCGCTTCGATAAAAATTAATCGAATTCTTTGGTTCTCCCATAGAACCAGAAACACGGTAAATTTTACCATATTATGTCAGTTTTGTGTAGATTTTTCAGTGGAGATTTTTACCACAGCATAAATTTCTACCACAAAAAAGTTCTCAATGTAGATTTCTACCGAAAAAAAAGAAAAAAGAAAACATTTTGACCATCAAAATTAAATCAGTTACTTTTTTTGATACTGATGTATTCCTCTAACATTTTAGAATGAAATTAACTTTTCAATTTACACCATTTACCTGTTCCGGTATATTTTCCAGCATATTTTTAATATTAAAGAAAATTTGAACAAAATCAAAAATGACAATTCACACACGTTAAAAAATTATACCCAGCAATTGTTTCATGTTTTATACCTATTGAGCAATATAATTCTGAATGCTTAATATGACAGTGGTGACACCAGTTGACATTAAATGTCAAGTTTGTGACATGTATGGTGGATAGATAAAATCAAGAGTAAAAGAAGAGTGAGTTAGTTCTAAGAAAAGCACAATGATTCTTTTATTCTTCGTAGATCATTTCTCTTCTTCATTTCTTTTTACACCTGAAAGTGTTTTTTTTCCCGGCAAGTATTCTATAATGGAAATTCTATGAATCCTGGCAGACAAGTAATTAACAAGGGTGGCGTCGTTCTTCGCAAAACTGTTGCAAGATTTTTTTTTTTTTTTTTGAGGAGCAATTCTCAGGGATGATGTAGTTCACTCAGAAGAGGAAAGTAACATACAATTTTCGTCTTATTTCAATTAACACTAGAAAGACTGAAACTCAGTATTGCTCAAAAGCAGTCAAAATGACTGCATTGTAAAAAGAATAAATAACGTGTAAAGAAATTTGATTAAAATTAATTTTTAACATTTTTTATATTATTTACAGTTATATAACAAGTTATTAGTAAATATTAACAAATTTTTTTTTTTTCATGTTGTACAAAATTCTAAGAAGTTGTGTCATTTATATACATCATTGTTTTTCGAACTGAAATTAAAAAGCACTCAAAATGACTTCCTTAGGCAATCTAGTGTTAATTTATACTTCAGGTACAACGCATGGGACTGAAAGCTTTCAATAATAAAGTAGACTTTAGATTAATAAGTTATCCAGTATTGAAATGTTCTTTTTCACATGTTATGTACTTCAAAACAATTGTTTTTAAAGCTATGAAGCAGATGAAGGATTTATTTTTTATTTTATATGTTTTCAAATTAAATTTTTAAAACTTTCAGCAATATCTTAGGCAAAGACTTAGCAAGAAAATAGGTTCCCTAAGTGGGTGATATAGCCGTCTGGAGGGCGTAGGGGATTTCTAGAGGATCTGTAAAATTTACATACAGAAGAAAATTTTTTAAATATTGTTCTATATAATAATACTTTAAAATTATAATTTTATTTTGTATAAAAAAAATCAATAAATTTAACTCTGCATAAATTGCATATTATTAAAGCAGTTCTTAATTTAGCACTTTATTAACATTTATATTACTAATTTTATAATGAACATAACACTTTGCTTGTTGTTCTACACCAATTTTTTTTTGCGTTTAGAAGTTTGAAGCAACTTTTTGTTTCACTTTTCAAAATTCTAACTGCTCTTATTGAATTTTCAACAAATAATTTTCTCTTTTATTCAGCGAGAACATAATGTTACAATAGTTGTGACTTTTTAAAATAAATTTTTAAATTTTTTTTTTCAACTTAGAAGTGGCAGTAAATAAAATTTTTTTTTCTTTCATAAAATATTTGCTAAAGAAAGTTCAAATATAAAGCCATTGGATAGTAGGGTTTTTCATTAAATTAATAACGGTATGATTAAAATTGTACTTACTATGTCGAAAATTAAGAAAGTAACAACTTTTTTAATTGTTTAATAACGATTTATAAAATGTTTTAAGAGGACGTTGAAAAACCTTTGTCTTGCAAAGTGGGTGGTGAGCGAAAAAGGTTTGGAGCCTATGATGTAGATAAACTGTACAGTTTAGGAATACTTTCGGTATAATATACTTCTAGTCCTATTTATTTTTTAATTACTACCTAGTCGCACAATTTTATGAGTTAGCGAAATGGATCTTAAATTTCGTCTTATAATTTTGTTGTAAGTTTGCTGTATAATGAAATATATATGTGCTACATTTAATGAACATAACATATACATCCTGGCATATAATAAATAGCTCTGGCTACAACTCAAACTTTATTTACTTTAAAAGAAAAATATCGCCATTATAGTTGAGTATAAAACGATACAGGGCCACGAATATGTACTTACCAAATGGCTTAGTTTGCGCTTGAACTTAAAATAAAGAGATATAAAAAGTTATTGGGCTTTTCGGAAAGTAATTTCCTTTTTTTTAATGAAAATAAATAACGCCTATCGTAAATGAATGTCTATAGAATAGTGAATATAGTAAAGAAATATTTTATTGAATCATATATTGTTCATTCTGGTTCAAAAGGTTTTGCCATCTTTCTGGCAATAGCAGGATTCCACGCTTATATGCTCATAAAATGTTCTCTGCTGGCAAAAAACTGATCAAGGTGAATTTTACCCTAATTTAGACGGTTAAGCTGATATCGTCTAAAATTTTTTGTTAAAGACCCGGACATGGTTGTTGACAACCCATTTCTAGTCCCCAGTGATGAAGCGCTTCAAAAATGATTTTTTTTTTGACGTTTGAGAAGCAAATCACAGACGTCAACGCGACGGCATGAATTTCTTTCAGTAATAACATGAGAAACCCATATGGTGGGCATTGAAATTAAATCTTAGGCTTTTCAAATAATAATGAACGGTCGAATTCGATAAATTTATTCTCTCAGTGATTTAACGAGTTGTTATTTTCCGGTATGCATCAATTAATGCCTTTATCGAAATTCTGTTACCAGTTTTTGCTCTGGCGTACTGCCAAAGCATCTTCTCCATTCACATCGAATATTTCTTTTCCTTGAACAGCATTTTCACTTTTCTGACAGCAATGCCGAAAATGTTGCTTTTCAGTTTCCATATTTGAAAGCACACCAACCAAAAACCACTGAGTAGAATCAATCAAACTTTTTCACAAGCAAACCTTTCTATATCATTTGTGAAAATATATAAGGATTATGCGGCTTAAGTGCGAAATTTTCAGTGAATATATATATATGTATATATAAGTCTTTTGTTAGAAAAAAAACGAAATTACTTTCTGAACAACCCAAAAAATCTTAAAAAAAAATAAAATAGAATCATAAGAATTGAAATTTTACCTTGATCACAGTTAGTTCCATTAAAACCAGGAGGGCATTCCTTCATGCATTCGCCATTTCTGGGATTGCAAACTGTTCCGGGAGAACAATTGCAAGGATTTTGACAGGTTTCTCCCCATCTACTTGGTGGACAAACCGTGTCGCACTTTGCTCCGGTAAAGCCGATTTTGCATTCACATTTACCTGTCTGGAGAGTAACGGGAAAATTGCAATACCGAACTTTTATGGGTAATCTTACAAATCAAAAATGTTAACTCATAAGATTTGTGATAGTAAGCTTATCAACCATAATATTTATTTTTAAAGGCAACAAGTTAAATGAAAATGGAAAAGTTCTTAAACTATCTCAAAATTTTATATTTTTGGAATTTTCTATTTGCAATTTTAAAAATCGATTCATAGCAATTTAAAATTAGTTTGATTAATAATAAAAATGCTTGTGTATTTTTTTAAAATAATTAATTTTTACCCAGAGGTCTCCAACATCTATTCCAACGAATGTTTTTGCAGATTTTGAATATAAATCTAAAGTGGGCAAGATTTCAAAACATTACTTATTAGAAACGCAATGTATGGCCCATAAGTAGCGAAAGTACCTAAATTTTCTTTTTAATCGGTATTACTTATTCATACATGAATTTAGCGAGAGAAATTTGTTATTTGGCAACTGGATCAGTCAACCATTACAAATGAAACAATTCTTTAATTATTTTCTTTCTATTTGCAAACATGCTTAAGCAATTGATTTCATAACAGAGAATAGATCTTATTATGCAAAGCTGAAGTTTTGAATTGAGAAAGTTGAAACAATTTAGTTAAAATAATTTGAAAAATTAAAAGATTTTCATATTTCATATAAATATATAATTTATCAATTTTATAGTTTTTGTAAAAAGTATGCAGTAAAAGTACGTAATAAAATTGCTTTCAACATGTTCGACAAGTTATCAATAAAAAATAACTTTTGAAAAACTATTTTTTAAAAACTATTTTTTAGAAATTGTTTTTTAATAATTAGCAGCTCTTTTAATAGGCTTTGGGATGAAATAATAGGAAACTGTTGCAACAAAAGTGTTTTATCTTCATTGAATTCTGAGATAATAGCAAAAGAAGCAAAGTTCATTGAATTCTGAGATAATAGCAAAAGAAGCAAAGTAAGTTCGAAATAGTTAGGCCCACTTTAATTTAATTTTTCTACAAATTCCAAAGTTACGTAACTAAATGCAGTTAAAATTATTTCATATCTTCACTTACCTTTAAACCGTTCTAAATTTTTATAGCTTAGATAATTTGAAATGTTTTATAGTAACAGGAGATACAGACCTTTCAAATTTGCCGAAGAGCCGAAATAATAAATTTAATAGTAACTACACTTTTTCACAAATTTATTTCAAAATAAATTTTTGAATTTTAAAAGAGAAGTTAAGTGAAACATATTTACCTTTGAATTGCATCTTTGAGTATGTTCTTTCACACACTTGCATTGGTGTCTGCAGTTAGGTCCATAAGTGTGAGTTGGACAAGGTAAATTACATTTAGGTCCAAATAAACCAGAATCGCATTCGCAATATCCGAAAATTCTGTTGCAACGCCCACTGGGACATCGTTGAGGACAACTTTTTTCGCACTTTTCTCCAAAGGTTCCTGATTTAAATGAAGAATAAAAAATATTATGTAAAGTATATTTAAATAAAAATAGTTAAGCGATTTGAGTTAAAAGTAGGAACTTAGATTTGCTTAGAATAGCAATATTTTACGTTTGGAGTGATAGTTTAAACCAGGGGTCCCCAACCCTATGCCCGCGGGCACCATGGCACCCGTCGATCGATCTAGGTGCGCCCGCTGCTTGTGTCCAACGATAAAATATTTCAGTTTTCCATTTTCTCAATAAATGCTATGCAAATACATATTGAAGTACGCTGGCTCAGTAAAGGCAAAGTACTTGATAGATTTCTACATTTAATTGGAGAAATAAAAAACTATCTTGTAAGCCAAAAATCAAACATTTTTAGAACTAAGAGATCCTCTTTGGCTAGCAAATTTGTCTTTCATAGCGGGAATAATGGAAAAACTAAATAATTCAAACTTGGAGCTGCAGGGAAAGGACAAACACAAAGCAAAAATGATAGAGACTATGTACTCGTTCAGAGCTAAGCTAATTTTGTGGATATCACATTTGAAAATGAAGTCTCTTGTGCATTTTCCAAACATGAAAAAAATTATAGGTGACAGTGAAATTGACTTATTAACATTTGTCATCAACCTCCCATTGCTTGAAGATCAATTTAAAAAGATCTTTCAACATTTTAATATCATCGAGCCTTTGATAACTTTTTTGTTAATCCTTTTACCGTCCAAGCAAGCGTAACCGTAATAGCAACATACATTTCAGACTTTTAAGTAAAGCGAGAAGAATTGGAAATAAAAATTGTGGATCTTCAGAACGATATTATCCTCAAAACTATTATATCTCATGAGAAATTCTGAAATATAGTTGAAGGAATAAATTCTATTCTTAAAAAGAGCGTCATATTCTCCCAATTCTGTAGTGCTGGCCAATGAAATGCCATGCCAAACACCACACTGACTGTATTTTATAAATAATTTTTATACTTCGTATGTTTTGAAAGCAATTTAGTAATCATTTATTTAACACAAGAATATTAATACTAATTATAGTTATATGTTAAATTAATTATTGAAATTAAATTTTTTGTGCACTATGCGTAGTGTGTATTATTACCTGTTTACCAACTATAAATTTATCTTGAAAAAATAAATGGTGCCCGCCATTCGACCGATATTCTGGTATTTGCTCTTAGGTACAAAAAGGTTGGGGACCACTGGTTTAAACTATTAAGCGGCTTTTAGCAATGGAAATATACATTTTAACTGGAATTGTAATTAGAAATAGTGTTTCTTTTTTTTCCATAAACGCTGTTCAAGAAAGAAAAACGAGCACATAAATGTAAATGATAATAATAAATTTTTTTTTTATTCAATTTGATTTTTTATTGACGTCATTAATTTAATTATCGAATAATATAAAATCGGAATACCATATTGAAATTAAGAATTTTATGGAAATCATTGTTCTCTAACAAATCATCATGCAACGTCTAAAGCATGTTCAACTAAAATCAAAATGCGTCAACTGGAGTTCAAATTAAACAAAAACAATTTATTAGACTGACCAATTTTTTAAAATTCGTAAGAATTTGTTTTATTTAAAAAGTAACTGTCATTGATGATGCAGACAAATAATAATAATGATAAAAATATTGTAATTGCTTTCTTCAGACATCAATGCATAACTGGCTTTTTTATTCAAAAATAATAAATACAAAATACAAAAAATTTACATAATACAAATTTACATAATTTAATAAATACAAAAAATTTTAATTTTTTGTTCAAAAAGCGGAAATTGTTGAAAAATTTGTATTTTAAAAAGTTACGCTCTTAAATAAAAATTAAAAAAACCCCATAAGTTTAAATAATTTAATTTTTGCTTATTAAACAATAATATCTTATTGACGATATTGTTACTTAATAAAGAAAATGACAAGTTTTGGAATTTAATGATAATTAATGGTTCTACTTCTTTTATCAATTGCCAGTTAGGAGAGTAATTTCTAACGAAAATTCTTTTTTCAGACCTTCAAAATCACACCATACTCAAGCATAATTTTAAATTAAATTATCACAAAAAAAGCAACTAAAATATTAATAAATAAAGGGGAGGATATTTTTCAGATTGCAGATTTCTCAGAAACCCGAATCCATCGAAAAAAAAAAGACATGTTTATTCAGAAAAACTACGTTTTTGGGTCTGCTTTCGTAACTTTAAGTATCATCAGCACTAATTAATTATCATATTTGAAGTTACTCTCTCAAACCATTCAAATTGAATCCTAGAACGTGAAGATCTGATCATTAGATCAAAAGTTATTCAGGGTGGTCCTTTTTTTTTGACGCACTGTACATGTGTTCTATTAATCAATTACAATCAATTAATTTGAATCAAGAACAATTTTACAAGGTAATTCAATTACCATTTTACACGGTAATTAATAAAAATTTATTCGCTCTATATCAATTAGAGAATTAATATCGAAATTAACGGTTTCTTAAACCATATGTATTAATTATATTCAAGCTTTCTATTTAAAAGTAAATTATTTAAATATGCGATTTTATGGTGTACAATAAAAATTAATCGTTCAAATTTATTTATTCAATTTAGTAACACTACGTAAAATTTCTTCTGCCTTTTCCTAGTTAAGCAAGGGGCTAACAGTAAAGTGCATAAGAGAAAACTAAATAAATACATAGTAAATTAAATACAAGCTATTAATTAATTTACACAAGTTATTAAAAAAATGGAATTCATACCGGGAGGGCAGCCTTCTTCGCATTTTTTCCCTTGTATGCCGGGAGGGCAAGTGCATTCGCCAGTAACTGGATCACAAATTCCACCGTTCTGACATTTGCACTTCTTTGAACAATTATCTCCAAAAGTGTCCTACATGAAAATTATTGATGATAGAAAGTTTTTTCAGATGTAGTAAAAAGTAAATTTATGATTTATATAATTAATAATAATTTAAAAAAAAAAACTTAGAAGAGAAATGAGTAATAGAGGAATAAAAAAGGAGATAAACAATCATTTCTTCACATGAACTTTGTTTACATGGTCAAAGAAAATTAGAAAAAAAAAATTCTACATAAATGAGAATAAGAAGTAAAGAAAAAAAAATCATCTAATCTTTGGATTGTTTCGTATTCAGAGAATAAAGTCTAATGGTTAAGGAGTGAGGAGGATGGTTAAGGAGTTAAGTCAGAATTGTTAAGGAGATATTTAGACAAATACTGGACAAATTCGAATTTGTTAGTTCAGGTGACTAAATAAATTATGAAATATGGTGCAAAAGTGCACTTTCTCACTTTTTTTGACGTATTTGTAATACTCAAAATGAATATGTGAGATCGACTTAAGTTGGAAATAAGGGCTCTCAAGAATTTTCGCGAATTTTGTCATATTTCTATTTAAAACTAATTGCATGAATATATTTTTTAAGGAATTATCAAAGTCGATTTTTTTATGAAAGTTAATTGATGCAAAAAGCTCCTGATTAATAATAATCTGGAATATTTTTTTGATTTGATTTAATATCGAAATAAAATTTTTTTTCGATTTGATGTTTAACCAGAAATTGATTTTTTTATTTATTTTGATTTTATTTTAAACAAAAATAGATGAAAAATTTGTTCCTCATTAATCTTCATTCTGTCATTACGCCTAGCTGGTTCTCAACTGGCAGTTGCGGGAATGCTTTACTATATAAGGAAATAAATTAAATGCTAATCATAAACGTTAATTATACTTTTGGCCAAAAGAAATATAATTGATCATAATTTTTTAATACTAACTTGAAAAGTTGATAATGTTTAAAAGAAAGAATACAGAAGTTAAAGATACAGAAATTTAAGCATATATTCCGGAATTTTCGCATAGATAAACTTTTCTTTTGCAAAATATCATTATAATTTTTTAATATCTGTTTTCTGCTTTTTTAATGTGAAATGTTTAGAAACAATTTCTTTTACACTTACACATTAAGTTTGTAAAGAAGGAAATAATTAAAAGTTAAAAAAAATTCATATTTTAAATTTTTACAAAAATTGAAAAATGTTTTTCTAAAAATAACCAGGATGTTTTTTAAAAATATTTTTGATGTGTTTATAGTTAGAATAAAAAAAAGCATTTAAACATATTTATTGCTATTATTTGTTTGACTTTTTAGTTGAGAAAGAGACCTCGTCATTTCGCAAGTTTTATTTCCTGCTAAACTTTTCTGATACATCAATTAAATTTGGTGCTGCCATCTAGTGTTGAAATATAAAACTTAAAGAGTTTAAAGGGATTAGACGTTTTTAGAAACTCAAATTGAGATGTAAAGCAATTAAAAGTAGCACGCAAATTTTTATGAAAAATGTCGTAATATGTGGAACTACACTTTCTTTGATAAATAAATTCTTTAATTTTATTCAGTTCACAATGATTTAAAAATTTAGACAAACGATTTTGAGAGAGAATAATGAAACTTATAAAAAATTTCTTTGGTGCTTATTCTATGAAATTGGAAAAAAATAAAAAAATAAAAATGGGACTGTAAAAAACGTTAATAATGGAACAGAAAAATTGTAATGATATGAATAAAAAAATATTTTTCATTAATTTAAATAATTTAAGTTTTTCTGATGAAACAAATAAGAATATCGACAATACTATTAAAACGAAAATAAGTAAATTAGGACTTTTAGTTTTTTTTAAAAGGATATTAGTTTTTAAATCAATTATATTTCTCTTCGTAATGCAGGTTAAAAAAAATCTTATATACTAAAATCTTATAGACTATAATCTTATATACTATACTTTTTTCATTATTTTGCATTAATTTAGGTCAAAATTAATGAAAAATATTATATTTAGTATTTTAATAATTTATGATTATGAAATACAGCGTGAAACACCATTGTCTTTTTCTGCTTCCAAACAATAATTTATCAAACATGCACTTATTTGCAGTTATTAAGCTTTAAAAGTTATTCAGCTTTGAAATTTCTTTAATTTACAAAATTAATTATTGATTAATTTTTGAATATGAATGAAAATAAATTAAAATTATTTTCGTTGGACTTTATATTCTAGTACAAATATAATTCCGAAAATCTAACACATTTTTTAGTTGCTATTACTCCTTTTTTCTGACTGAAAAATACCAACATATATATTTTTGTTCGTATTTAGAGCATCGGAAAAAAATATATAAAAAGAACACCGGTGTCACATCTGTGTCAAAGGGATAGTTTCAAGTTATTTAATAACTGACAATATTCTGAATCAGAAAAAAATTTTTGGAAAAAAATTAAAAAAATTTTTTTTTTTAAACTTATTTAAAGGAACACAGCATGCTGTTTTTTCAGGGGTGACGCTTTGACCCCCCCCCCCCAGNATTTTTTTTTTTTTTTTTTAACTTATTTAATGAAACACAGCATGCTGTTTTTTCAGGGGTGATGCCTTGACCCTCCCCCCAGGTGTACCAATGCTGATATCTAACGTTCAGCTCTGTCACAAGATCGCAATGTTAAGCTTGACTTTGATAATTAATTCTTGACTCAAATATGTAAAACTCGTTTTAAGAAACAATTATAGTTTAACTAACCGATGTTTGCGTTGCACAGAGTAAAACCACGAAACTTTTCGACGGTGAGACTGACCACCACCAGATTCGTTTACCATTGGGTACGTTTTAAATCAGCACAAAAGATTGTTCGGTTGGATGCAGCGTACAAATGAATTTGCCATATATGGATTTGGTTCGTCCGCAATAGTTCAATTCAACGGTGGAATCACAAAAGTTGACGCAATTTTACTTTGCGTTTTTCTCTTTTTAACATATAAACAGTCATCTCTAATTATACAATAGCTTCACAATTTCAGAAATACTGTGAAAATTTCTGCATTTTTATGTTTTTTTTTCTTTTCGAAATTAAAACATCACGCAACCGAAGACAACAATTCAGTAGACATTTATTTGTTAACATAATTATTAATTTTAAGTATTTCTTCAAATGACTTACCTTTGGACAAGTTTCATTGCATAACAATCCTGTAAATCCTGGTTGGCATGTGCAGCTTAGTGCTCTAATGTCACATTTTCCCCCATTTTGGCAATCATCACAGTTGTATATACAATTAGGTCCAAAAGTACCTCGAATGCATGCTGTAATTTTAATATATGTACAAAATAATGTTTTTGAAAATTGAAATAATATAATGTTAAGTTATAAAAATAAAATGCAAAATCAGTTCCTTAAACATTGTATTCAAATTATACATATCATACTTTATGTTTTTATATATACATATAGACACATATATTATACCGAGTTTTACTTAAAAATTTCCAAAAAAGCTGTCAAAAATGCAAGTAACATAGTGTAACAAAGCAAAAAATAATTTAAGATTTATTGATTTAAGCTTTTCAAGAAAATAATAAATATAAATTTTTATTTATGGTATGAAAGATTTCATAGTTTCTAGTTTCATTTGGCAAAAATTCATAAAGTCATTCACAAATAGCAAAATTCATATATTAAAAATATTTCATTATTTAAAATATTCAATATTAGTATTTCTTTTATTTATTAAAAATATTTAAATATTATTAATAATATGTTGTTAACTATAATCAGTTGACAACACACTTTTTCTTATTTTTGTTAGTAAGAAGTAAAAAAATCTGAAATTATTCCGCATATAATAGAGTACTCGAATTTTATAGGTTCAAAAACAGAAAAAAAGCTTTAAAATATCGTAGTAGTAATGAACCTAAAGTAATCCACATATACCACAGTTGAAATCACTCAACAATTTATCATAATACATATTTTGAAAACATATTTATTATTGTAAATATATACTAGCCACGTTTCCAAAAATATAATAAAAATTTTCGCTTTTTGAAAATTACAACGACAGACTTAGCACAAATCTACAAATGAAGTACGTTAACCAGCTAAGATTATATTTGCGCCACATCACGGACTATTTTTTGGCAAAATTTATGAGCATAGCTGTTTAAAAGAGTGCATAATTTCTTTACATCATTATAGTTAGAGTAAATTCGTTTACATATGAATCATTATATTGATAAGCCACGTTTTCAATTTGTTCAAGAGAAAGAACATGATGATTTTTATATAAGAGGTTTATGTGTTGTTTTTTCTTTGAACACTAGTTATATTGATAAAAAAATATATTATAATACTAACATACGAATTATTATAATTAGACTAATAAGCGAAATTGTAATAATTATTTTAATTACATACTAATTGTATTTTAATAATATTTAAAATATTTTTGCTTTTTGCAAATTACAGAGACAGATATGGAGCAAACCAGCCAGGAAGATATTGGCGCCACTCCAGACGAATTCGTAAAATCAAACTGATAAAAAGAATTGTTATTCAGAAGAGTACAAAGCTTTTGATTTCTTCGCACCACTATTATTAGAGTAAAGTATGTCTACACATGAGTTGCACATTTAAAAAAAATGGAAATGAAGATTTTATATGAGTTTATTATTTTATTCTAACTATTGTTTCATTTTCGGAGAACATTTTAAAAAGTAAATTCAAACAAAAAAAAAACCAATTAAGAAATGGTGATGGTATTTTTGAGTATTGAACATCATTACATAAAAATGACTTATTTATTTACACTTAATTTAAAACCACGTTAAAGCATTAATTTAGAGTAACATAAACAAAAAAGCTAAAAATGTTAAATTAAAAAGTTAAAAATAATTCTCATTTCATAATACTATTTTTTAAAAAAAAGTTATGAAATTCGGCACAAAAGTTACAGTTTCTTGAAGCATCTTTTTCCTGAGAGCAAGCAATGAAATATTTTCTTTTAAAGTGGTCTAGCATGAAAGAATTGAAGGAACAAAAACAGCATGGTTTAAGCTTCTCGAAAGTTCAATAGAGCTGAAGATTAAAAGAATGGAAAAAAAAGTAAATAATATTTTTACTAAAAAATGATGGAATCAATACGGCAAACGGAAAGAAATATTTTTGTAAAGAGCAGCATGTGCATGAAAGCATTCTGGAAAATCTAATAAAACCACATGAACGATGCCATTCTTATTACGTGAAAGAGCAAAAAATTTAGCGAAAAAAGTTTAGAAATTATTCTAATGGAAAGAATTTTTTATTTCAAAAAAGAAGAGCACTATGTCAAATATTGGATACTATTGATATTTTTTGAAATGAAAAAGTTTTCTTAGTACTTAGAATACACTCACGCGCTTTTATTTCAAGGCCAGAAACTGAGAAAATGTTTAGTCTGAAATATATCTTGAGAAAAAAATAATATTTTTCTGAATAAAAATAGATACTTAGGTTTGTATTAAAAAATGTTTTGGGCCCAAAAAATATTTGCAGGTGAAGAATTTCTTTCTAAAATGTACTTTGTTTTTTATGTTTTATGTTAACAAGTTTGTGTTAATGAATATTTTATTCTTAAATGTTTTTTTAAAATTGCAGTATTTTTAACGGGTTTTTAGTTATTTTACGGGTTTACATTTTACAATTTATTTATCGCTAATAATTTTAAGATTTAAAAATTAGTTGTTTTTCTTAAAGCAGAAATTACTACATTCTGATGAAGTTCAGTAACTAAAAACAAATCCCCAAATCGCTATGAGTAAAAGTGTGTATCTACACACTAAAAAAATAAGCATCAAAAGTAAGCTTAGTCTTTAAAAAATATTATTTTAAGCAATCTTTACACAATAAAATAAGTGAAGATTCTTTACAAACATAATGACTAGAATCGCAAATATTAATATCGTAAATGATATTTACCAAATTAATATCGCTACCAATACGCTTTTCATAATAATATTTTTAACATTTAAAATAAATAATCCTATTTAAAAACTTTCGGAATTTAAGTAGGTATGCAAAACAATTTAATGTTACTGCTTAAACAGGTTCAATGCTATTGTAAAAATTGTAATTTAGTAACTAAAGGACTTAACCTATTTTTTCTAACACAAATCTTTATAAAAGAAATCTATCTCTGCTAAACCAGTTACTTACTAATAAAGCTCTACAACCCGCTGTGTGCCTTGGCTTGCCGAACAATATCGTTCTATACTTTTTATTTTTGGATTTCAACTTCCAGTTTTTCACCTTCAAGGTGGTTTTTTCAGAGTCCAAGCGTCTCTTTTTCGGTCTTTTCCAAGATCTCAAGTTCAAAGATTTCCAATTTAAAAGTTTTCTTAGATTTCTATTATCATTAAATCTTTCAATGTTCCACAGTCATGCTAAACAACTGGATTTAATAAACAGAATTAGGTTTTTTCGTTTATTAAATGGTCAAGTTTACTATTGTTTCTCATTCTTCACTGTGTATTATTTACTTTAATTGGTCCAAAATTTTCCTTTTTAAGATTGGTAGATATAAGATTTGTCTTTAACTGTTAGAGTCCAAGTTTCACTGCCATAAGTAACTAAACTATAGATCTCATAACAGTTTTATAAATCTTTAACTTAATTTTCTTTGGAAGAAGTTAGTTCTTGAACAAGTATTGGTATAAAAAACGTTTCCTGTTTGTATCCTGGAGTTAGTTTCTTCTGAAATATTGTTACTATCATCGATAATTGCACTAAAGTAGGTGAAACTGGAAACTCTTTCAAACTTTTAGTTTCCTACGGCAAGCGCTGATAGAATAGTGGTAGATTTTGTTTGTGCCATACATTTTGTCTTTTGTTCTTTCATAATGAGGCCTACTTCATTTACTACTTTTATAAGATGATTAGTAAAGGAATTTGAAGCAATTCTACTTCTACTTAAAATGACGATATCATTAGCAGAAGTAAAATCACTGATTATAATTTATTTAATTATAATTAAAAATAATCTTTCGCCACTTACATTAAATCAAACAGCAAAAGGGAATATAAAAATAGAAAAATTTTGCCACCTAATCTAAAATCGCAAATAACATCAACGACACCTGTGGTGACAATATAATAAAGTTGCAAAGACTGACCCCATTGTTTTATATGAAGAATTTCTCAAACGAAAATGTGAAAATTGTAACCAAATAAAATTTATTACGCATTTATTTTCTCTCGTTTGATCAACAAGAAAAGAACAGAGCTTACAAGAACTTATAGTGCCTGATTTCAAGCCCTTCTAGTGCTAAGTATTGTCGAAAATCTTGATCCAAAAGAGGTACTACTGTCAGTGGTGTGACTTGATGACGCAATCTTCGTGATAAACAGAACTTACAAGAACTTACAGAACTAAAAAAAGAGAACTTGCAAGAACTTACAGTTAAACAAGAACTTACAGTGTCTGATTTCTAGCCCTTCTAGTGCTAAATATTGCCGAAAATCTTGATCCAAAAGAGGTACTACTGTCGGTGGTGTGACTTGATAACGCAATCTTGGTGATGATACAGGTGGTGTGTCAGATCTACTATTAGATGTTTCTATTAGTATTGCTTGTCTTGGAGATGCTAAAAATGAGAAAATAATTTTTCAATTAGGAATTTTTGGAGAAACGGTAACGTGAAATTAAGCAATAGGGTGCTTCAATATTTTAAAGCATTCAACTACAAGTTTTAAAGTTTAGAATATGGTTTGGCGATGATAAATTAAACCCTCGTGATGAATGTGTTTCTTATACCCTATCTTTGGTACCTATTTTCATAAACCTTACGAAAATAAATTAACAATGACCAGCAGGGTTAAAAAGTTTCACAGCTGAATACTTTAAACACCAAAATTCAAAATAAAAATTACAAATTCGTAATATAAAGTTATATTTAAGTCAACTAAAACTGCAACAAGCCTATAAGCAATCATTTCTGATTAGCCCGATCAGCGCAATTAAGTTGTCTTCTGAAATTTAAACCTAGTAGCAACAATTGTTGTCCTGTTCAATAGGGTTATTTAAAACTGGCCTTAAAGTTTTAAACGAATTAGCAACACTGGGGTACTTTTAACTGCTTTAACCAATAGAAATTAGTACTTTGATGTAACATAACATGTTAACATCTTTACATTTGTCTGATTTGACAACTTTTTTAACCTTTTTTCTTAGAATACATTTACTAAACGGGATTCATTGCCTCTAATTAGTTCTACATAGCTTTTGATAGTATTAAAATATTCAGTGTAAAAATTGGAAAATAAATATAAAATCAAAGCTGCCAACCTGGAAGTTTTAGATCTTCCATGAATGATCGTCCTTAATATATATTTGTAGAATTCTTATCAAAAACAGGGTGTTTAGCAATGCTAACTCTTAATATGTATTTTTTTAGTTATTATCAAAAATGAAGTAAAAAAATAAGCTTGTAGCATCAATTAATAGTTTATCCAAGGAAAAGAAGCAAACTAAAGCATTTTTAAATCTACCTGATTAAGACGTTATTTAATCATAGAAACCAGTTTGATTGCNAATATTCAGTGTAAAAATTAGAAAAATAATTATAAGATCAAAGCTGCCAACCTGGAAGTTTCAGCTGTTCCATGAATGATCGTCCTTAATATATATTTGTAGAATTCTTATCAAAAACAGGGTGTTTAGTAATGCTAACCCTTAATATGTATTTTTTGAATCATTATCAAAAATTAAGTAAAAAAATGAACTTGCAGCATCAATTAATAGTTTATCCAAGGAAAAGAAACAAACTAAAGCATTTCTAAATCTACCTGATTAAGACGTAATTTAATCATAAAAACCAGTTTGATTGCCATATAAAATAGAGGGGAAGAGAAAGGTGATTATTAAAGAAAAATTCAACTATCATCAGGCATTTATATAGTAACAGTAACTTTAATTTATTTAAATGTCATGGTGGACAAAACTATTTAAAATTTAAATTTAAAACAAATATTGCAACCATATTAAATATTTGGGAGAAATCTTCGGCCAAAAAGCGGAGGAGAGCACAGGTTTAGAATGAGTTTAAAAGTATTGATATCTGGAAGAAGTTATTTAAAATTGATTTGCAATGCATTATACTAAAACAAGTATAGACATTTAGATGCATATTCATTTGTTATTTACGAAATGATCTTTTGAAGAGAATTTCCTCAGAGAATATAATAAGTGGATAGTAGAATGCTTAAAGTAATAAGGTAAGTAAATAAAAATGAGATATGACATTATACGGAAGAGAATAGATTACTTTCTGAAAGAATAAAGCTAGTAGCTAAATAACAATTCTCTGAAGAGAATAGAATGAAAGTGATTACTTGGATGTAAAAAGATGAAATAGAACGAGCTTTTTAAACATCTAGTTACAATGAAAAATTTAATTACTTTCCATGTTTAAAAAAATCTTAGAAATAAAATTGTGCAAACAAAAATTTTATTTTTACAGAAATAAATAAATTAGCAGCGTTTTTGGAATTTTTTCCACTGCATAGTATTCAAAGTTAGTTTTGCGAAATTTTAGTAAGATTAGCATGATTAGTTAAGAAAAGCATGAATGCGTGATTTTAAAAATGATTTAATTGGCTTCGAAATATCTCGTGGAGTTTACGATTTTCCCAAATTGATATTACGTTAACAAATTTAATTTGATTTTGTAAGTTACGTTCAATTAAAGTTCTAATTTTGATTTTGAAATGTGAGAGTAGCAATTATATCTCAGAAAACATATCTGATTTAAATGGCACAGAGAAATAGGAAATAAAGTTACGTAATTTGCAAAAATAAACATAAGAATAATTTTCTTTAAAGAAAGTTCATGCATACAGTGCAAGTTCTATGAAAACATAAATTGAATGTATATAGTATGCCATTTATGTTTTCATAGAAAAATGTTACAGACTATCTATTTCGTTAAGAAGATACCGGAAAGTTGATTTTCTATCGGTTTTCACTTCCTAATAGTTAGTAATAGAAATCCTGGAATACATGGTGACAACTTCAAGATTGAAAGACACAATATGGGACATTTCGTAAAGAAAACATAAATGGCATTCTGTATGCATGAATGTTCAGCAAAGAAATTTTAATAAATAAATAGTAATTTGATTACTTTCAATAATTCAAATTTTATTCTGTAAGCGACAGGAACACAAAATTTTATTTAATTGCATGTCTTTGAAAAATTCTGTATAAGGAAAAAATTGTAATAAATTTTAAGAATAAATATTTATAATTATCATTATGATCTATTTTGTGTTTTTATTAAAATTGAAACATGTTTCGTGCCTGCCTCAAACTTGGTAATTAAAGACCGCTCGAAAAGTTACATCTGTAATATACCCAACCACCTCGACCTCGACATTTATGCGTCTATTTTCTTAATAAATACGTATTTCTAGCTGCATCTACTTTTATAAACATTCCTTTCAAGCTGTGTCCGTTTTCTTTAACACGCGTTTTGAAAAGTGTCCATTTCCTTTAACACGCGTTTCGAGCTCTGTCCATTTTCTTTCACACGCATTTCGAACTGTTGCTGATTAAAAAACTCACTGACTAGTTTTAATAAACTTAAGGAATTTTTAAAGTGCTCTGTATTTTAGTGTTTTTTATTTTCTGTATTATTTTAGCAGTGCTTACAAACTCTGTTTTTTTAAATATAAATTGAGAGAAGTAGAACAAAACATCGTAAATTAATATCAGCGTCAAAACTATTAATAAATAAGAAAATATTACATTTATACACATAAATCACATAAAAAACATTGTTTTCAAAAGAGCTCTTGAAAAGGTCTCTAAAGTTTAGAATATATATTGATTTGATGCTGTATATACTATCACGAAATGAGATATATGTATATCATCACCCGTTTTGACATACGCAGAAGGTATGATATTGTGACATGAATTTTTTACTAGCACATCCTTTCTAGAAACTAGTCATTCTTCAAAGAAATACTTTCCATCTCAATAAAAGATGTATAGAACTTGGAAAATATGAATTTATTATGCATGCTTACGGAAATTCGAGAGAGAAAACAGGGAAAGAAAAGCAGCATAATATTTTTTATGCCTGGCAAACAGGGAAAAGTATAGTAAAGTAAAATGATTCGATTGCAATATTTATTTAAATAATTTGTTTTCTAATAATTTCCCACTCTTAATCTAAATCCCTGTTTCATAGTTAAATTTCAGGTAGCCATTAAAAAGTTTTAACTCTGGGGCCGGGATAGCTTGGTTGTTGGGGCGTTGGGCTTATGTTCGAGGGGCCGAAGACTCCCCGTTTAGTAAATGGTTACTGATGCTCGTTAAATCTGTAGGGTCACAAAGTCCTCCATGCTCTCATAGCAAATCATACCTCATCGTATAGGAGATTTATCGTTCGTTGGTTCAGGCCAAAATTACGATCTGAGGATAAATGAATGGATATACGAATGGGTCCCCCTATAAACGGGTTGGGACGTGTGTGTGGCTAAAGTTGCATTTTTTGCCATAGAAGGAGCCACTGACAAACAAGAAACACACCCTCTGTCTTGGTTTTACCAAGGACGCAAGCAGACTTGCCGGTATTGGTAATTGGCATTAGAAACAACAAAAACACGTTTTAACTGTAAGCATTTTTTAGTTAAGACAATAATTAAACAACAAAAATAGCTAAACTAGCTTACATTATGCTTTTTTTAATCTTAAAGTCTCTTTCTAGAAATATTTAACATTGAAAATTAAGGACTACAGCCAAATGATATATCAAATAATAAGGTTGGTTAACTAATTAGACTTGTTAAATAATTAGAATGGTTAAAATATAACATGGTGCTAGAAATTAATTTTACTCAATATTAACTTTGCTTGCTAAATTTTAGCTCGTGATAAATGATACAGTATCGAAATTTAAGTTAATTGTATACATGATTAACGTAACTCATTCCAGAATAGCGATACCGATATTTTACAGATATAGGGGATTTTGAAAAAATTCTTGCGGATTTAAAAACTATCATTTTTTCACCAAGCAGACAATATTTTGAAAAAGTCGCCAAATTGCTTCGCTAAATAAATATACTATTTCTCCTATAATCAATGTAATTTTAAGTACTCAATAACGAGTTAAATATATAAAACAACGATAGAACTCAGAAAAAAGTCACAATTGACAAATACTTACAATTATTGAAAAAAAAATCATTTGAAAAAATAAAACAGTGGACAAAGAGCGTAGTTTTCTTAATCAGTTTATGATACTGAAAAAATTGCTTAGAATAACTGGCATCAATAATTTCATTATGCTTTCCAAGAAAGTTGCAGAAGAATAGTATAGAAAGTAGTTGATTAAGAAGTTTATAAAATAAAACTGATTTTAGTAAAGATCTTACTAATACGAGTATATTGGATATGGTCCTGTGATCTTCAAAAAATATTATTTTCTTTAAAATGTCTTCATTGGATTTCAAAGATTCGATGTGTTTTTTTTTCTCGAAATCTTGAACAAGACTTCGGAAAAAAGTTTTGAGCTAGTTGTTTAATTTTGGACAAGAATTATAAAAAAGTAAGTTTAATTAACATTGAACAATAACT